CAGGGTCACTGAGGCCACTTATTGTGCCCCAAAGTGATGTTCTAATTGAGATTTCGGCAATCTCTGAGAACTGGGAACAAAACCATCTGATCTCAGTTACTTTATTCCACAGCATGTGATGTATTTACTGAGTAGAAGCAGGTGTTATTGACTGTGAGGTGTGCACTCTGTTTGAGTGATATAGCTGACATGGTTCAATAACTGACAGTATGTGCAAGCTGAGAGGAGTGAGGGTAGCTGTGCTAAGTCGGTAACAGTAAGGTAAAGGTCTGACTGTTGGGTAGTAATCTTTTATGAGGATACTGTAGTTTTTGTGGTGCATTGAGCAGTTTCTGAAGCTAGTAATGTGATTGATGGAACATGACTTTATCTCTGATCCTAACCACTTATGTGAGGTCATTGAGAGTCTTATGACACTACATCCAGGTCATCACGATGCCAGGAGGTCTCTGCTCCCATTTCAGAGTTTTTCTGATGGGCATCTTGGCTGCTGGTATTCTCTCCTTGACCAAAGCCTCTAGTGCAAGATTGAAAAATCTTGGCGCTCTTTCTGTTTCATGGTACCCTTTTGCTTTGTTTTTCCAGGTCAGGAACATAAAAAATAAGAGCAGGAATAAACCATTCAATGAAATCCTAGCTGATCTTTTGTTTTAACTCTGTTTTCGCACACTATCCCCTTGTCTTTTGATTTTTTTTTCATATATGGAAGTCCATTGATCTCAGTCTTGATCATACTCCATGACTGGGCGTTGACGGATCTCTAGGGTAGTGAATTTCAAAGATTTGCCAGCCTCTGATGAAGAAATTACTCCACATCTCAGTCCCAAATGGTTTCCCGTTTAACCTGAGAGTTTTGTCTTCCTGTTTCTAGGCGCAGCCCTGCATGCTGGGGGCTGTGTAGTTGTACATTAACTTTCCAGAACATGGTCAAATAACAATGTGCTTCCGATTCAAGAGATGTGGGCTGTCTTTAGGAAGCTTCAGTTGGTTCTAACCAGTTGCAGGTTTAGACCCCACCCCCTCCCTAGGCTGAGTTGTGTAGCTATTTCATAGGAAGGTATGTGCTAGCTGGACTGTATAATTACAATAATGAGAAATCAATACAATATTGTGAATCAAAAGCAGTGGCTAGCATCACGAGATTCCGAATGAAAATGTTTTTTTTTAAGGTCACTCTGAGCCAAACTAGTACTCTGAGAGAATGTAGTTTTCAAAGGCAAAGTGATTATTCCACAGGGCCTGTATTGAGATATGCTTGGCAATATACACACAGGTAACATGAACGCAGAAAAGTGTTATAAAGCAGGGGTTGAATCCCCCCAACTCTGAAACTAAAACTGAAACACCCCAAGAAGAGCGCCTTGCTCTATAATCTTTTACAAGTAGTGTGAAAAGTGGTCTAACCTGCCTTTCAGCAACTTTTAGTGGTGGAATAAATAAATCCCTGACACTCACTTTACAATCAACAAATAACAATTTATTTATCTAACTCCTACAGTAAACAAATTAGCTAAACTATGAACTAACTGAATAAATCCATCTAATTAATTATTCCCTAATAAAACAAGATTCTAATGGTGTGCTGTTCCAATAAAAACAAGTCCCATTTATATAAAATAATAGAATTTAAGCTGTTGAAATTACAGCCAGGTTACGTGTCTTCCAGAATGTCCTGTGCCTTTTCCATCGAATGTTCTGTCAGGAATGTTAACTAGTTGTGCTGTTGGTACCTTTGATTTAAAAGGTGCTTTCTCTAAGACTTAGGGAAGACTGTGAGGGCCAGCAATTCTCTCTTGTTAACTTTACTAGCTGACAGTTCTCTTGTTATTGTCTAACTGCCCTCTCCTTTTATACCTTTGATGATATATCAGTTTCTTATAATAGGATTGGTCCTATGTTGTCAAAACCACCAGATCTAAATTGGTTTTTGGTATCTAAGTGCCAGATTCAAATTGGCTAAATTTGAAACCTGTTGTCTTGGTCACAAAACAAAGCTGCTGCTTGGCTGCTAACTGTACAGCCTTTTGATACAAATGTTTCAATTTAATTCCTCTCTGCACCTGCAAACCCACAAGCTGCTGCTCATGGGCATCCTTTTTTTCAATCTCTAAGCATAGAAAAAGCGCATCATCTTTTTTGAAAGGACCACACACTGCTTCCCCCCACTGTCATTTTACAAACACCAATATTTTACAAACACTAAATTCTAACATCCTGCCTCCCAATCCACAAATCCTGTACCCAACTTCGCAACAAAAGAAACACAAGATTTAGCATTTGAGGTATCAATAAGGCCATCGATCAACTGAAAATTGTGCAAAACTTAAAACCCCATCGACTACAACAGAGAGAACCTCTTATTCCACATGAGATTCCCTTTGAGCAATGGTGCAAAATCACAACTGATACGTTCCATGTCCAAGGTTACAACAACATCCTGATGTCTAACTATTTCTCACTAGTGCAGCAGTTGTTGACTCTGACTGACTGCCATACTTCATATGTTGATTGTCCTCCATCAAATGTGCCCAGTAATGGTCTACAGTACATTGGTGCACCTTTCCAAGACATGTGCGATGTTGGGTATGCATCACATTATCTCCTCTCTACATTATCATCCAGCTAATGATCTTGCAGAACAGACTGCTTGTGTGAAATCCATGATCAGAGAATCTTAGCAAGTAGTTTCTCCCTTTATGGATAAGCTAGATTAAATCTCCTCAAGACAATGGTTTTCCTTCACCAGCAGCACTCTTGTTTAGAAGGCAGATTCCCATAGTTCTCCAATTACACAATCTAACCACCTAACTACCTGTAGACAATGCATTACCAGAAAGAGAAGAGAAACTGTTTAAGAGCATTCATCAAAGAGCATGCAAGCAGTTTTCCCAACTTTGAGCCAGAACAAAGCATCAGGTTTCAGATCTTTGTACAAATGCATGGGTCCATGGAAGATATGATGATGTTGTGTACAGCCCAGATCATACAACATTGTCACAAATAATGGTCAAATTCAATGACAAATCAAATGATACATTTGACTTTTACGCAACCAACCATCTGTCATCAGAGGATTACTCTGAAACTGAAAGTATTATAGCTGACAACCAGGCATCGTTAATGGATGTGCTTATCATCCATTATGACAGACATCACACTGCAGAGTGAAGAGCTATGCGGCTGAGTTCTGACATGTGTATAAGGACTGGAATTGCATAAGTTGTATTGTACATATGCTAATGCATTACCTTAATGTATAAAGGGAATGTACCAATGTGCATCTTTGTATCTATTTATCAGAACAGGTTTTCCGCTCTTCAAAGGGAAGAGTGGGGATGTTATATTACTGCAATGATCTCCAACACCTTGGATAGCTAGGTGCATTACAATATGTGATACCCTAACATCTTACTCTGTACATTCCAAGAGTTGATAGTTTCTCGGTTTGCAAGCAGCCAGCTAGCTAGTCAGCCAATCATGTAAGTAATGTAGTCACCACCTAAGCAAGCACACACTTAAACTGTTTGTGTGTGTATGTGTATGTGTATGTGTATGTGTGTGTGTGCACATGTATGTGGGATGTTTGTATTGGGGTACATAATTAGATATTAATAAACTTCCAGATATCCAGCACAACATGAATCCATCTTTTTGTGACAACAAGGTGCAGGGCTGGATGAACACAGCAGGCCAAGCAGCATCATAGGAGCAGAGAGGCTGATGTTTCGGGCCTAGACCCTTCATCAGAAAAGGGGGAGGGGAAGGAGGTTTTGAAATAAATAGGGAGAGAGTGGGAGGCGGATAAAAGAGGGATAGAGGAGAGGATAGGTGGAGAGGAAACAAACAGGTCGAAGAGGCGGGGATGGAGCCAGTAAAGGTGAGTGTAGGTAGGGAGTTAGGAAGGGGATAGGTCAGTCCAGGGAGGACGAACAGGTCAAGGGGGTGGGATGAGGTTGGTCGGTAGGAGATGGAGGTGCGGCTTGAGGTGGGAGGAGGGTATAGGTGGGAGGAAGAACAGGTTAGGGAGGCAGGGACGAGCTGGACTGGTTTTGGGATGAGGTAGGGGGAGGGGAGATTTTGAAACTTGTGAAATCCACATTGATACCATTGGGCTGCAGGGTTCCCAAGCGGAATATGAGTTGCTGTTCCTGCAACCTTCGGGTGGCATCGTTGTGGCACTGCAGGAGGCCCAGGATGGACATGTCATCTGAGGAATGGGAGGGGGCGTTGAAATGGTTCGCGACTGGGAGGTGCAGTTGTTTATTGCGAACTGAGCGTAGGTGTTCTGCAAAGCGGTCCCCGAGTCTCCGCTTGGTTTCCCCGATGTAGAGGAAGCCACACCATCTTTTTGTGATATGTTATATGGGTTAACAAAAATAGAAAGCCACAAAGCACATTGTGCTAGCAGCAAAAGTGCCATCATTTGGTCAGAAATTGATTACATCACCCATGTGAAGTTGTAACTCCCTCTCTTACCTTGCGTATTCAACTTTTCAGAATAGCTGTCAAAGTGGCTGCTAGATATTTAAGCAGTATTGAATACAGCACTCTGTGCTGTAAAAGGATGTTAGATTGTCTAAAGATTGCCTACTCTGCTAGGCTGAACATTCCTGGATAGGTTTGTAATGGAACGCCCCTGTCTAGGAATCTCCATTTTGGGATTTGTGACAAGGTAAGTGGGTAATTTTTAATTAATCAGAATTGGAGATAGGGTTCCTGATGAGTATTGTTTTTAAATTTTGGCTTCTCAAAATACTTTTGTAAAAGTTTACCGGATAACTCCGTAGGATTTGGTGCACACGTTGAAGGAAGAATTAAATGGTTTCTGTTGAAATCCTGTTTAGTATGTCATTTGGAAAGCTGCATGCTTGTATTTTTGTGTCAATGCTTGTCTGCCACTGCAAATATTGTGTATCACCAAATATGCTGACTTTTTAACAAAATTAATTCCAGCATGTTTCAGAATATCTGTCTATTTTTAACCAAGTTTACTTTTGCAGTTTGTCTATCCCACTTCAGATGCAAAGCCATTTCCTGAAAACCACCTGCTGGTAATCTCTGAGGACGGATGTAAGTGGTTCATTCAAACTGATTTACTTTTTGAAGGGAAACTGCAAGCAAGTACCTGTGCAGTACAGTGATGTGTTGTGCATGTTTCTGTACACAAGCTCCCCACTGTCTTTATGGAAAGGGAGTGGGCCACCCTCCTTGTGGGAAATCTCTGGGGATGTGGAAATCCTGATTTTAATGGCTGGTCCTCATTATCACTTTTTTCTTTTTTTTAAAAAAAAAAGCTCCTTTCCCTACCAGCATCTTACCAGATCGACAGGTTGGCTAGCTGCAAGATGAGGATGTCAGTGGTAGAAAACTGTAGTTGTGGGGGCCGGTCTCTGGCACCCACGAGAGATCATAGCAAGATGCCAAGCAAATGTTGGACTGGCCACCATAAGGGAAAGATGATGGGGAAACACTTTTTTGATAAGGGATTTGGTTGGAATGACAACAAGAAGAGTTGGGGTGAGAGCATACACATTGATAAACATTGAGGTGCTGATGAGGGAGGCTGGAATGGCAATAAGGAGGGAGAGTAGACCATATCTGGTGAGTAAGTGCAAGAGAACCTGACAACTAATGAGTGGGTAAATCACGGGAGAGGATTTGTTCACAGGTCTTGGGAACACTTTTTTTGTTTCTCCTGATCTGCAAACAAGGTTACAAAAAATACATCGAGCAAGCAGTTTTGGTTAAATTGCCACATACAGACATTGTTCTTCTAAACATTTTTAGAAAGGTTTAGACTTCTTATGTTCAAAGTCTCCATCTGATTGGCTCAAGTGTTGCATTCATAAAATAGTAATACATTGCAACTAAAAGAATGGAAAACTCAGTGATGAATAATTTTTTATTTGAAAAATACTGGGAAATAATGCCAGTTGTTTGCCTCTAGACCTGAAGTTGGGCATTAACAAGCAGTTGCCAATATACAAATTTTCATTACTAACTGGTGCCCTCTAATTTGCTTCATAATATGTTTACTTTATAGTTTAAATGCTGCTTGACCTTAAAAATAAAGTGACATATTATACATCACACAGCATCATACGTTTTGTAATTTTACAAAAAGTACTTATCCTCTCCCTTATGGTCAAAGGAGATAGTGAATCTTTTATGTAGCATCTCTGTAATTACAGTTTCTTCTTTCATTTACCTGACAGTTATAATATTTTGCTGCACTCTAATAATTTCATGAATGCATCCAAGCGCCAGAATGTTGTCTTTTAAACAGAAATATGTATATCCAACAAAATTTGTATATCCTATCACTTTTTTTTTTCTTTCTTGTTCAGGCATTGAGCATATTCTCATACCAGTGGTTATTGAAGAAGGTTACAGAGCGGTAAGCTAGATATTTGAAATCTGTGGAATAAGGTGGAAGGCTATTGTATATTAGAAGTGCAATTTGCTTTAAAGGAAGAAAGATGAACAAAGCCATTCAAATTTGATTGTTAATTCTGCTAATTATGTTCTTGAAAACACTGATTTAGAGTTGTATCTGCATCGATTTCACAGTATTTTACAGATCTCCCCTGTCTGGAAACATGAGAATTGTATGGAAAGGGTAGAAATGCCCCATGATATGAACTGGAGAATCTGAGATAACAAGGTGTAGAGCTGGATGAGCACAGCAGGCCAAGCAGCATCAGAGGAGCAGGAAGGCTGACGTTTCCGGCCTAGACCCTTCCTCAGAAAGAAGGGTCTAGGCCTGAAACGTCAGCATTCCTGCTCCTCTGATGCTGCTTGGCCTGCTGTGTTCATCCAGCTCTACACCTTGTTATCGCCTAGAGATCAAGTTGGATTTAGAAATTGTTCTGAAGACTTTTGTCGGGGCAAGCTGATCATAGTAACAAAAAGAATTTTTAATAAAATATAAACTTGAAGAAGTATGCAAAGTTAGTACTGTTGTGATGAGATCCATTTCCTATGTATCCAGTTGTACCAGGGACATTAATCTTTTCTGTGAAATGTAACATTCAGTGCATGCTTAGTTCAAGAGTTGCTCAGTGGCAACTTAAAATTTTGTGCAGCAGTAGGAAAGAGACTTGTTGCAAGTTTTTCAACAGGTTATTCAGGGTTGTAGAAGATTCAAGAGATTATAGACAGCAGCTGAAGGTCAGTAAGTAGGAAGAGGCAAGGGGAGCAATTTCCATACAATAAATGGGCTATTGAACTGTAATGCTGAAAAGGTAACTGAATTACACTGAGTGAACATTGTTCGGGACCCATTTGGCAGCCAAGAGTGGTTGGATATCTCTTTGCTTTTAGAAATCAGGGCAAGTTGTAGGAATTATTAGGCAGCCAACTGTTGCAGTCAGAGCTTGGGAAAATTTCTGACAGTTGTGGCTCACAGAAAGCCGGGTGCCACTATTAGATCACTAGAGCTGAGAGTAGGGTTTAAGAAGCCAGGAAAGCAGTGACTGATTGATGCAGCTGAGCAAGATGAAAGTTCGAAGAAAAATTTTAGGAAAGATCTTGTTTGGTGAGACCAGCCATTGGTGAAAAGCTGGAGTTGTGCCAATGGATAAATACTGGAGTGCAGTTTAAAGTTTTGGCAAAGATCCCCACCCATACTTCAATCAACAAACCAATAGAATTGGACCCCATATACAAACCCATACAGATCAAAACTGGAAATGACTACTCACCATAACGGACCGGCAAGTGTGAATTCCAAGCGGAGTGGAATAAAATCACTTCATCAGAGGCTCCACTGATGATGTCACCTAGCATGGTGACAAAATGCCTGAACAAAAACAAGCCAGCTTAGCGAGCAAGTCAACAACCTCACTGGAGTGCAGTTTTTGGAGTCAAGGAGCGTGTGGACCCAGGACAGGCAGGTGATCAACTTGAATAGGATCAGTCATTGAGGCAATCCATAACACAGTGGCTCTTGGGAGGAATTTTGAGGCTGGATTGGTGATGGTGGAGAATTGGAACCCCTAGTAAATTTGATGACCTGCTGTGTCTTTAAAGTTTTTGGGGAGATTTCCTGAGAAATCTATGGACTCTGTTCTGATCGCATTTGCTGTGCAGTGCTCGATCACTATTACTATTGTTTACCATCTGTTAATTGTGGGTGTTAGAAGTAAGTTGTACATGAATTTTAGATTGTATTACTGTTCTGTCTTGTAAATTATTGTAGTTTGTGGTGTCTTTTGGATTTATTCTCAAGTTTCTTGGACATTAACTTTAAAAATAGAAGTTATTGGTTGACAAATGTGAGATTGTTGCAAGCTTCTTAACTTTTTTTTTCTTGCACCAACTAGGGATGATTTGTGAACAAAAAAACTTCTCAAGCATAGGAATAATTTTGATGTAGTTAAATTGATAATTGAATATCAATTAAATTTTGATACAATTGTATCTGTTTTCTGGCTACATGGATTTGTGTTAAATTCATTTTAGACAGTTCACAATCCAGATCGACTTCACAAAGATATTGTGGTTGAAGATATTTTGTGGGCACAGTGGGATACACAAGGACAGAGGTTGTTCTATATCGCTGAAAAGGTAAAACATCATTTGTTGCAAATGTCATTTTTCATTTTGGGGTAAAGAAATATTCAAAGAAACAAAGGGACACAACATAATTGTAGCAATTTGGTTTCAGTCCCACAAGAAAGTGAGGGAAGTTAATAGGTAACTTGTTTTTGACAATGTTATTTGAGAGATAATTAATGACTGGGACACATAACAAACTTTTTATTTTGTAAAGTGCCTGAAATCCTACATTCACATGTGAGGGCTCATTGGGTCTTGGTCCAAAAAAAAATACAGCAACTCTGTGAATGCTATCACTGAACCAAAACTGACAAAAGATTTCTGTTGTAATCAGCAACTTTTCAGTTTCTTACCTGTACATTTATTCATGAAAGTGTGCCGTCATTGAAAATTTGCAGGTTATTCAGTTCATATACACACGTTCCATATATTTCACTAGATAGCGTTGAGATGGAAATCACCTGTTACAATTTTTCTTTCCACGCCGGGGTTCATTGAGGGTAATTTGGCACTGACCTTGCTAATGACTTGTAACTTCTCTTGAATGTCATAATATAAATCAGCCATGACACTCTGTGCCAGTTACAAAATGTGACCACCCCAATAATGTGGGTTTGTAGTGTCTGCTTGTATGAATCTATAAAAGAAAGTGAGGCAATATTGCACAGGTAAGGCATTAACAAAAATAGTTGAAAATAAGTTTTACTTAAGAAGTTTAAATCTACTATATAACTACTTCAGGAAAAAATACTGCAGGTTTTGGAAATTTGAAATAAATACCAGAGCATGCTGGAGAAACTCAGCAGGTCTGGCAGCATCTGTGGAGAGAAACGCAGTTAATGTTTTGAGTCCTGTATGAAGTCCTGAAGAAGAGTCATATCAGACTCGATATTAAGTCTGTTTCTCTTTCTGCAGATGCTGCCTGGCCAGCTGAGTTTCTCCAGTACTTTCTATTTTTAATTTAGTTTTATGACAGAAGTGGAATTGTAGAGAACTTAGTCACTCAATTGCAAAATTACCACTTCACATCTACTAAATGGATAAAATGTACAATGCATTCATGTTGAAGGACTGAGGACAGTTGATTTCCATTAACTACAACAGTAAATTGTCCTTTTGCTGCGCATAACAAGTGTTTTGTGTAATATTTACTCCAGTGCCAAGTTTTTATTTTCACTATCAGAGACTCCCATAATGATGATGAATTGTTTATTTATAAGGAGGAAAACAATGCACTTCTGATGTGCATCCAGTTTTACCCAGACAGAAACTATGAAAAGTTGGTAAGTTGTTCTATTTTATATCTTCTAACTATACTAATTTCTTCCTCTGTTTGTATTGCTGTCAATGGTGTATGTTTCCACAGACATATATGAGAGGAAATCTTCAAAAAATTATCTAGTAGCCAAATAAGATGTGCATGTGAAAATCTTATTCCATATAAATATGGAAATTCCTGACATTCGTCCAAATGCAGCACATGCTCACATACAACACATTACTGGAGTGTTCCATATGCAGTGACCTGAAATGCTTTTCCGTTCACCTGGAGTGGGTATTCACTGTAAAGTATGTACAAACTTGAATTTAATAGCTGTTATAGTGGCAGTGATACAGTCAGCATTTTTTCCATTCACCGATTTAATTTTAATCAGGAGGCTATATGATGTGCTAGTCTACATAACTAGGTAAGTCACATATCATAGAAGAATAAACATGTGAAATTGGCTCTTCAATCTTCGAAAGAAGTAACTATGATGATGCCTTATAGGATTATGCAAGTTTATTGTACATGTATATGAACATGGGAATTAGAACTAGGAATTGATCTGCTTTGCCATTCAATAAGATGATGACTGATCTGATCGTGGCCTCAACTCCACATTCCTGCCTACACCTGATAACAGTTGGCTTCCCTTTTTGGCCCAAAATCTATTTACCTCCACCTTTTTTAAAAATCTTCGGTGACTCTATAATGATACGGTATTTGTTTTATTTTAAATGGATGAAATAACAGTTCAACTTCAAGACTAAGCAAGCAGAAAGTAAAAACATTTTAAAGGACAAATTAAGATTGGCCGTCAGAATGGGCGTTTGTGTACTGTAGATAGTTAGATAACATCGTCAAGGGCACTCTGTTTGAGTGACCTCCCCTCATCTGTATTTACCATGTGACTGAACCACAGCAACAGATCGGAAGGTGATATTCATTATGTAGGATGAAGTTGAAGTTTCTGAGTGAATTGTACTTGCAGTTAGTGAAAAATCCAAATGATTTGGGGCAAAAAGCAGCTGGTGTTTCTGGAATTCATACTGTCTCGATTACCCAAGCGCAGAATAGTCAATTACCCATACCTGCCTCTATTCCTGTCAATTTAGATACCTCACAGTGGAGAGGTCAATAATGTCTGAATATCACTTTGTTACCTGACCAGAAGGATTTCAGAAGTAAATGTGGGGTTAAAAAGGTAAAAAGAGAACGCAGAGCCAAGGGCAGTTATTTATTTGTTATTTTTAGAAACTGATTTTTAAGGAAGTTACAACAAATCTTGAATTTCCTGTTTAGTTCTCTGTTTTATGTAGTTCAGTGACAGACTATTCAATGTGCCCAAGCTCCTATTTTGGGAGATTTATTTATGTTGCTGTCAATGAGACCAAATCAACGTAAAATATGCAAATTCTTACCACTTTCTTTGTAATTATTGTGTGCTGCCTATCTGGTTCGTGATGAATGGTCTTCTTGAAATTGGTTATAATGATGCATTTCTTTGTTCTTTGATAGCTTTCATTTCCTCTTGGATTCTCTTTAACAGTTACAAAATTATGGTAAGCTATGATTCACATGTAGTCAACTTGTAGTTTATATTTTTGTTTAAAAAGTCCCCAACAGTGCTGAGAATATAAACATGATCTTGGGTTGTATGAATTTACTTTTAACAACCTAATGATGTATAATTTTAGAAATAACTTAACTTTACAGTGTGTAAACTACTGGGGATTTTTAAAAAGAAAATGGTTACTCATGTTCCCTTTTATCAAATTGTAGTTTTGAAGTTTGTTTAACCACCACAAGAGGTTCCTTTTAATGTGTTTCTTTCACTTCCCTTTATTTTGAGACCCTGGAATATATTTGGACAGAGACACATCAGCCTCTAGACAAACTGTCTCACAACTCAGTGATTAGTGTTTCCAAGCCCACTACAGTGGTCTGAGTCACATGGAATTGCCTGGTGTTACCTTTTGATGCCTTCTTAATTGAGGAAGGCCTGGATCTTGAACTTTCTATTCTTTTTGAGCCACATACCCTTGTAAAGCCTCTATTTTGAAAGCTGATTATGCTATTTGAAAGCAGTTTGGTGTTGTGCTACTGGTAGGCAATCTGTTAAAATGTTAGGTACTAGTGAACTATGTCTACATAAAGAACTCGATCAGGGATGCATCATGTTCTATGAGAATCAAATTGCTCTGTTTCTGCATGTTGTCAGCATCTGTGAATGAATGGTTGGCAGCACACATGGTGCTGTGTCTTACAAAAATGCCTACAAAGCATATTTTTCTTCTGCTGTTATGTGTGATTTTAATTTTATTCTAACTAAACTTATAAATGTTTTTGAGTCCCGGGGTCTTGCATACTTTTCTTAAATTAAAACCACTGCTTTGCTAGCTGTCGTTTTGACAGAAAATGAGATCTTCATAGTCATAAATTCACATTATTTTATTTTGGTATGTCTGTAGATGAAGGTGAAAATGATGGTGTGAATATTTGTTGCTTATTTTGCGATACAGTTATGGCAGTGCTTTTCTGAAATTTTCTTCATTCGTAAATTTGCACCTTGAAGTTCCTTTTTAAGATTTACTCATTCTCAGGATTGTGCATTGCCAGCAAGACCAGCATCGATGTCTTTTATCTCTGGATGCTCTTGAGAAGATGGTGAAAAGCTTTCTTTTCAAACCACTGCAGCCAGAGTGGGGAAGGTACCACCATAGTGCTGTTAGTTGGGGAGTTCTAGGATGTTGACCCAATGATGATGAAGGGATGTGATTATAGATTCACATTTGGGGTGATGGAGGGGAATTTGCAGCTGGTTTTGTTTCTATGTACCTCATGCCACTTTTTAAAAATTCATTCATGTGATGTTTGAATCACTGGCTAGGTCAGTATTTATTGCCCAGAGGGCAGTTAAAAGTCAACCACATCACTGTGGGGCTGGTCGGACATGTAGGGAAGGACATTAGTGAACCAGATAGGTATTTTCCTGACAATCACTATGGACAACATTAGACTCCTAATTCCAGATTTTTATTGAATCCGCCATGATCGAATTCGAACTCGGATCCCCAGAGCATTACCTGAATCTCTGGATTAATAACCCTGTGATATTACCATGCGGCCATCGCCTCCTAAAGCGATTTTATTGTCCTTTTACAACTGGTGGTGGATGTGCATATGCGTATTGCTGCCAAAGAAGCCTTTGCAAATCACTGTATGCTTCTTGCAAATAGTATCCACTCAAACACAATGAAATGACTAGCCAGAAACAACTTGTACCCTCTGTCGCAGGCCTTCTGAGAGCTTTCCCTTAATCTCCAGTGATTTAAATTTCACTAATCTCCTTGGTGCCTTGGTTTAATGTTGCATTCCATGATTGGCAATCAATTTTGCCTCACCACTGGAAAACAATTCTTTTGTCTTTATATGGATAAAGCCGTATTGAGGTCATTAGCAGAGTGTTCCTGGAAAAATATATATGGAGCATGAGTGAGCAATGATTGCAACAACTTCCATCACTTTGCTGACAATTAAGAGTATGCAATGGTAATTAGTTTGTTTGGATTTATCCTGCTATGGTCACCCCATCCCACCCCCAACTGCTTTGCTGTATTAAAATCAAGAGTTATGGCAATATTTCTTGTGCTTGATTAATCCTCAGGGCTTTAAAACTATGGGGTTCCTTACTCTTTCTTTTCTGTAGGTTTTTAAATACCAAACTTACTATCAGCTTCTCATTGATTACTTGGGGGCAGAGAATTCCTAGGGCTAGGTTTTGTTACTGAGAGAGGTGGCTTAGGAGTTGACTTTTTCAAAAGAGAAATGCCCCAAATGTGCAATTTTTACTTTGGAGGTGCAGAAACAGGTTTGAATCAGACCTCCCAATCCCAGTAGCGGTGTGAAGATGTGCTGGGTGGGCTGATTTGGAAGGTCTGTCTTGATTCTCTCTGGACTTCTTCCCAGTGGCTTTGCAAGTTATTAGTCTCTGTAATCCTACTGCACCACCCATGGTACCTCATAGACTCCATGCTAACTCAGTGCTAACATGTCTTGCATGGACCCCAAGCTAACTCTTTACCCTGTGCCTCCATAGCCTCTGTGGAACTTCCACAGTCACTCACTCAGCCTCCACCTCAGAAACACTGTGGAGATGAAGAAAAAACCACAAACTAATCTATGCATCTTTCCCTATATATACGCTTGACAATCAAACAAACTCGCATTCATGAAATAACAAGGTGTAGAGCTGGATGAACACAGCAGGCCAAGCCGTATCAGAGGAGAGGGAAGGCTGACGTTTCGGGCCTAGACCCTTCTTCAGAAATGGGGGAGGGGAAGGGGGTTCTGAAATAAATAGGGAGAGAGGGGGAGGCGGATAGAAGATGGATAAAGGAGAAGATAGGTGGAGAGGAGACAGACAGGTCAAAGAGGCAGGGATGGAGCCAGTAAAGGTGAGTGTAGGTGGGGAGGTAGGGAGGGGATAGGTCAGACCAGGGAGGACGGACAGGTCAAGGGGGCGGGATGAGGTTAGTAGATAGGAGATGGGGGTGGGGCTTGGGGTGGGAGGAGGGGATAGGTGGGAGGAAGGACAGGTTAGGGAGGCGGGGACGAGCTGGGCTGGTTTTGGGATGCGGTAGTGGGAGGGGAGATTTCGAAGCTTGTGAAGTCCACATTGATACCATTGGGCCGCAGGGTTCCCAAGTGGAATATGAGGTGCTGTTCCTGCAACCTTCGGGTGGCATCGTTGTGGCACTGCAGGAGGCCCAGGATGGACATGTCGTCTGAGGAATGGGAGGGGGAGTTGAAATGGTTCGCGACTGGGAGGTGCAGTTGGTTAGTGCGAACTGAACGTAGGTGTTCTGCAAAGCGGTCCCCAACCCAACCTCGCATTCATGAAATCTTATTTAAACTTCTAAATCTTCTCAAGTTTTAAAATTTATTCTTTTATGGGATGTGGGCATCACTGATAAAGAATGCTTTTGTTACCCATCCCTAATTGCCCTGAACTGAATGGCTAGAGTCAACTACATTACTGTGAATCTGGAGTTACATGTACTTGCCTTTATTCCCTTGAGGATATTAGTGAACCAGGTAGATTTTTTAATAACAATTGATGATAGTTATCACAGTCAACATTCTATGACTAGCTTGTATAAAGTGACCAAATTTTATGAACTGAATTTAAACTTCTCCAGCTGCAATGGTGGTATTTGAACATGTATCTGCAGAGAAACAGTCTGGGCCTCTGGATTACTAGTCCAATGATGTTGCCACTGTGCACCATCTCCCTTTTGTGGTTGATCACTTATAAAAACAAACAAACTTCTATTCAAAGAACACATCAAAGAAAGCTAATCTTTTAATAGCCACTCAAATTGTTCATCAAACTGTGAACTCCGACCCCTAGCTCAAATAACCATAGCCATGAAAGAGGCAATGATCTAGTGGTATTATCGCTGGGCTATTAATCCAGAGAACCAGCTAATGTTTTGGGGACTCTGGTTCAAATCCTGCTACAGCAGATAGTGGAATTTGAATTCAATAAATATCTGGAATTAAGAGTCTAATAATGACCATGAATCCATTGTTGATTGTCAGGAAAAATTCATCTGGTTCACTAATGTTCTTTAAGGAAGGAACTCTGTTATCCTTACCTGTTCTGGCCTACATGTGACTCCAGACCTACAGCAATGTTGTTAACTCTGAATTGCCCTCTGGGCAGTTAGATGTGGGCAATAAATGCTGGCCCTCATCTCCTGAATGGATTTGTTTTAAAAATCGAAACTCAATGAAGCATATCATAATGATATAATTGTACATGTTGGAAGGAAATGTTAGTAGACAACTCCATCGAAACTGCATGAACACATACTAATTTTTAAAAAATCCAAATCAGATGGTCTGTCAGTCAAAGCAGCCCAGCAGAATTTTTGTTTTAATAATCATTGACAGCTGCAGCCTTTTTTAAAGTTTAAAGAGCAAGATGATTTTACAAAAAGGTTCAGATCATTATGCTTACATAGACTTTGTTCACCCATCAAGAATGTTCACATCTATTCCATCATTTTGTGACTCCCACACTCATTAGTTAAGGCCTTTGCAATAGCTAAAATGGTATCCAGCAGGGCTATTTGAGCTTTTCTCCTCTCCTTGCCCCAATCTCCTACCAGAAAATTTGGATGTATCAGAAATGTTGGTGAAATGTCCACATTTGGGTCATCCCTAATGTTTCTCTGTGAAAATACAGCTTTTTAGACCTATTCAGTAGTTTGCCTGGTGGAATGATGTATCTTTTATATATGGAGGTTAAACAGGTTTTAAAGAATAAGAAAGATCATAGCTACAGTTGGCACTTGTAACATTCCATTCAAACCCATTACCAAAATGTGCAAATTGATTATGTTTGTTGTATTTTAATTCTCTTCAGTGAAATAATTGTTGAAGAAACAAAATATGTATAATTTGTCCTACATTCAGCACAAACCTGACATATAGTTGCCCTGGATGCTTATCCTTACAATGTTACCATCAGCAAATTTGCTTAGAAACCTGTTGGGTTGAGGACGCACAAACATTGGTTCTTCATCCTGTACACCTCTTAATTGTAAATTACCTTAATCCACCTACTGGTAGATTACTGGTTATATAGGAGATGCAGAATGCCTCGTGTGTGAAAATTGTCTCAATTTTCTTGTGATGTATGTTATGGATGGATGTTTAATGCCAAATTGTGCTGCCTTTTTTTCAGGCTCATAAATTTTGGATACAATAGTTTTCAACAACAAGAAAATTCATTGGAATTGTTGAATCTGCACGTTTTCACAAATCGTGCAGGTAGCGAATATAAATGGACTGATTTGTTTTCCTTTTGTTTTGTGGTAAAGTGCATGTTTTCCAGGAACTGTAAGTGAAGGTTTTTGATTAGTAAGAGAATTCAAAACAGTTCATTTCATCAGTTTTGGTAATAAGGTAATGGCCAAGTCTTTGCTCATTCAACCTAATAAAATAATGAGGATACAAAATTATTTAATTTAGGTTTTATTTAAAAATAAATTGAAATGATGTTAATGTATTAGCTGAATTACAAGTGGCAATCACTGTAATTCAATACAATACAATGACCATTAATGCCCTCAGTCATATGAGGCAACTTTTACTTTTTATATCTGATTCAAACAAAATTGACTTAGAAGCAAACCGATGTTTTAGCTTCATGAAGTCATAATTCCTTATAGCATTAATTTTAAAGTTTTGATTCTCCATTATATTGTAGATTGAAAATTAAATCCCAAATGCAATAGTGTACGGCCATCACCAAGTGGAGATAATGGACTTTGCAGCTTGTGCTACCTAAAATGTTGAACATTTGCAGCATGTGTCTTTTACAGAGAAATGCCGAAACAGGAATTGGCAAACAAAATTAATGATGGGAAAGGGGCCTAAGTTCAAACTTACTCATGGTCAGTCTTTTTTTGTGTTGGGTTTTTTAAAATGCCCACATCCGGTAGTTTGGATTCAAGATACTGGCCACAGAAAAGGCAAGGTCAAAAACTGTCTTCATGCTTGGGCTTCTTTGAAATACTATCTTACAGATTAAAACTAAATAATACAATATGCGGTATTCAGAGTTATGTACAGAATTACATTATTAAAAAGAACCTCCTGCCATAAAATTCTGTCACCCAATGCTAGTCGACCTACTCCACATGGTTCTCTGCGTGTGTTTCTGCCATTCCCATGGCTATAATCTCGGCTTCTGGCCAGCTCTCTGTTTTCACTCTTCTTCCTTTTAAGTCCACCAACACTCTCTTTGCCCAAAGATGAGCACCTCCATGACACCACAAGATTGCTACAGGGTCCTAACATCCTTTCCCAACAGTTGGTAGATATGATATTCCGCAAGCCCTGTCTAAACCTTGCATTAACCAAGGATGAGACCTTTCTTTTTCCACATAGTGTCATAGAGATCTACAGCATAGAAAAAGGCTCCTCAGCTGATCAAATCTGTGCCAATCAAAACAACCACCTAACTTTTCTAATCCTCTTTTCCAGAACTTGCTCCATAGCTTTGGATGCCTTGGTACTGCAAGTGCCCACCTAAATGTGTCTTAAATGTTCTGAGGGTTCTGCCTCTACCATGCTTGTAGGCAGTGAATTCCAAATTCCCACCACCCTCTGGGTGAAAACTTGTTTCCTCCACCATGAGGTATAACACCTCTAACATACAGCCCTCTTAAGATATCAGCACCCTCCAATTCCTATTGACCATCTCCAAGTTGAATCACCTCACCATTAACGGCCATGCTATCAGCTGCGAAAGCTGTAATTTCTAGAATCTCTTCTTTAGCCTTTCCATTTTGCCAACTCTCTTTCATCTTTCAATGTTGCCCCTTTTAAGACTTATCATTTTAACTTTTAAACACCTGAACAAATGTCACTTTTCAAATTTTGTATCATAACTATCCAGAGCTCTGGCATATTTTACTTGGTTAAAGGTACTTTATTATATATGTTATGCTTTGGCCCCTTGATTTTGTGCATGATTTTATAATTTCTCATTTGTTGTTGCTGTTGCAGGTACCATGTCAGTATGTTACAGTCATCCTGTGCAAAATTTGGGAGAATTCACTTATTCAGTGATTCTTCTGCATTACGGTAAATTTGATTTTCATTTCTTTTTGCCCTTTCTCTTTGCCTAAAATTCACCCTTCCTTGTGTCAAAATACACTTAACCAGTCTTTTTCTTGGCTTTTGGAATGCCAGGACAGACTAAATCAGATTTTAGTAACTGCCTGCATAGGTGCTGTACTCTCTGCCTGCAGGATGCCCTCTTAAAGCAGGCCCACCTATTTGTCTAGGAGATAGCAAAAACTGCAGATGCTGGAGTCAGAGCCAATACAGTGCGGAGCTGGAGAAATACAGCAGGTCAGGCAGCATCAGAGGTGCAGGAAAAAAATTGATGTTTTGGGTTTACATTCTTCATGAAGACCGATGGAGGTAAACACGAAATGTCGATTTTTTTTCCTGCTCCTCTGATGCTGCCTGACCTGCTGTGTTCCTGCAGCTCCACACTGTATTGACCACCTGTTTGTCTTGCTTTAAAGTACTACTTCACCGAGAAAACTGGCCCAAAGCACACAATATTGGAAGATCCGATATTTAATTAAGCGTGGAGGCAAATGTTGCATTGACTTTGCTCCATCTTTACAATGTTCAAGTTAAGTTGAAGCCTTTTTATTTCTACTTGCCAGGGCTATAATACTAAAAACAAAACTCCAGGAAGGAAATTACAATTTTATACAGTTTGTTCAGTTTCACATTGTGCAACAAATTGGAGCTGGAGCGCTACAATGCAGAACTGATTGTATTTTCATTTCATTTACTTTTTTTGCAGGTTGGAAGAAAACATTTATTGTTTCTTTGGAGGAATCTGATCATTACCTTACAAGTAAACCAACTTTCATTAACATTGGTAAGCTGATGGTATATAATGTAAATCATGTACTTTAAATTAAAACATAGGGATGAATTTTCTCACTATTCCTGGTGTATTTCTAATGTCTAATTAGGGCAAGCATTTTTTTATGGCAAGAATATTAAAAGCCATTTCGGTAAATTTTATAAAATGAGATTGTATGTCCTAGTTCTTTTGCCCCTTCAGACCTAATTCCCATCAGCTATTCTCAAAATCTGCATAGAGTTGCAATAAGCCTCATTTAATTATTTCAGAGAGAACATTTTTGCTTTTATACTGGCCATACATGTAGTTAGTAGGATCAATCCAACATTACTTCTATTACGCCATTTCCGCCACCTCCAGCAAGATGCCACCGCCAGACACACATTCCCCTCCCCTCCCCTGCCTTGTCTGCCTTCCGCAGGGACCATTCCCTCCGGCTCACCCTGGTCCACACTTCCTTCACCCCCAGCACCTCCCCACAGCCCTACGGCACCTTCCCCTGTAACCGGCGAAGGTACAACACCTGTGCATTTACCTCCTCCCTCCCCAGTATCCAAGGGCCCAAACAGACCTTCCAGGTGAAGCAACACTTCACCTGCACTTCCCAGAATCTAGTCTACTGCATTCGCTGCTCACAATGTGGTCTCCTCTACATTGGGGAAATGAAGCGTACACTTGGCGACCGCTTTGCAGAACATCTACGTTCTGCTCGCAAAAAAGACCCTGAACTACCTGTTTGCCTGCTACTTCAACGCACCACCCTGCTCCCTGGCCAACATCTCTGTCTCTGGCTTGCCGCAGTGTTCCAGTGAAGCCCAATGCAAGCTGGGGTAACAACTCCTCATTTTCCACTTGGGGACCCTACAGCCCTCTGGACTCAATATTGAGTTCAATAATTTTAGGGCCTAAACTCTCCCATGTCCCAGCCCCCTACCCCACACACTAGGCTTTGTTACCACATAGCCTGCCATTACACACCCTCACTAACAGTCCCCATTAACAACTATTCACCCCCCCCAGCCTGATCGTCAGCAACTCCTTTGTCTGTCCAACTGTCTTTCTCTCTCTTTTGGGCTCTATCCAATCGTTTACTCCCTACCCCACCCACCTCCCTATTTTCTGCATATAAACTGACGTTTTCCCAGCCACCATCAGTTCTGAGAAAGGGTCACCAGACTCAAAACATTAACTCTGATTTTTTCTCCTTCACAGATGCTGCCAGACCTGCTGAGCTTTTCCAGCAACTTTTTGTTCCTGATTTACAGCATCCGCAGTTCTTTTGGTTTTTATTACTTCTATATTACAACATACAGATGGCATGTACATAAGGTGACTTGACCAAAGATATAATAAGGTAGTGTGGAGGAACAGAGGGATCTTGGGGTCCATGTCCATAGATCCCTCAAAGTTGGTAACCAAGTTGATAGGGTTGTAAAAAAGGCGTATAGTGTGTTGGCTTTCTTTGGCAGGGGAATTGAGTTTAAGAGCCGTGAGGTTATGCTGCAGCTCTCTAAAACTCTGGTTAGACCACACTTGGAATATTGTGTTCAGTTCTGGTCACCTCATTATAGGAAAGATGTGAAAGCTTTAGAGAGGGTGCAGAGGAGATTTACCAGGATGCTGCCTGGACGGGAGGGCAGGTCTTATGAGGAAAGGTTGAGGGAGCTAGGGCTTTTCTCTTTGGAGCGAAGAAGGATGAGAGGTGACTTGATAGAGGTTTACAAGGTGATGAGAGGCATAGATAGAGTGGATAGTCAGAGACTTTTTCCCAGGGTGGAAATGACAATTACGAGGGGGCATACTTTTAAGGTGATTGGAGGAAGGTATAGGGGAGATGTCAGAGGTAGGTTCTTTACACAGAGAGTGGTGGGCGTGTGGAATAAGCGACTCTTGGATAGGCACATGGAGGATAGTGAAATGTAGGGTATGCAGGGTAGATTGATCTTAGTAGGATAATAGATCGGCACAACATCATGGGCCGAAGGGCCTGTGCTGTGCTGTATTGTTGTATGTTCTATGTTTAAGACATGCCTATCACTTACTGTAGGGGGGACCATAGTCATGCTTATCAACCTGTACTCTCTTCGACTAAGAACAGTTCACTACATTCAATATCTATGGCACAGGCTTTTTTCAGGCAGCCATTTGCGTGTCTAATATTAGCCATTCTGTACCATGGGCTTGCATTTACCAGGAAGCTGACTAACTTCACAGACATTACAGAAAGCGAGCAGAGAAGGGGTTTTTCAGTTACCCACAGTTGAGATGTAATCCGTGGCAGCCACATTGGTTTTTGCACTCTCACAAGACACCCTTTTCTCCCAACCAGAAGATCTTCCCTTTCAGCAAAGCATAGACTGTGTAGCAACAAGCTGAACATTCTGAATCTCCGTACTAGATGTGCTGGAAATTGTCATGAAGTGTTTATTTTGAAACACTGCCTTCCCTGTCCATTTTTTGTGAAGATGATAAAGCCTGCTACCATCAATAATTATTCCTTTTTAAATGTGCCTAAACAGCATTAGTGCTACAACAAGAGATTTGTGTGTCATGGGTTGTCAAGAATACCTTCAGCATCTTAAAGCTAAGAAATGACGTCTGTCCTAAATCTTTTAATGATGCATTTTAAGATGTCCATTGTAATGCTAGTCCTTGTTATATCAATCATCTAAATAAAATCTGATGCAGAATATCTGTATAAAATAATCTGTAAATTGCTGGTTTCACACTGCTATTAAAGAGCCCAATTCTAGAAGAAGTAACAAAATTTCATTAGCAGCAGACAGAATAAAATGGTTCCAGGTTTGGTTAAATTTTGGCTCTGGCATCTAGATTCTATTACAATTAATTCAAATTTCAAATGACCAAATACCTTCATACTTCTGTCCACTTAGGTCAAAAGGAAATGCATTCTTTTAATTTGTTTTGGTTTAGGGAAATGTTTTTGATTTTGGCTTTCCAATTGTTTGAACAAATTGTAGCAGTTGTAACTGAGTATGCTATAAAAATTGAACTCTGAACATTTTATCTTAGTACAAGTTGTAAATTGAAATAACCCTGTCAAATTATTAAAATTGATTTAATTTCTTTACAGGTTATTATGTAGCTGTTTACATGCCTGGATATTTTTTACACCTCATCAATACACAGCATCCTAATTTGGCTTGTCATAGTTTATTTCTGTCAGGTAAGAATGTTTAACATATTCTGAGTATGCCTTGGTATGAATTTTTATGACTTAAAACAGTCTCTCAACAGGTGCTTTTTTAGGTGACAGATGGTTTGGCTGCAGAGTGAGAGGATTTTGAAATCTGTCATATGGAGAGTGATAGGTATTATTTGATTCAGGTCAGCAAGTTTCCTTTGAGTTGCGCATGCAGGACCTCTTGGTGATTAATAGGTTACACTTTTTGTTTTGAAATTTGTCTGCAGTGGAGGAGTCTCTTTTTTCAGCTCCCTTAGCTAATAATGATTTATCTTGGAGAGGCGATGGGTTAGTGGTACTATCGCTGGACTGTTAATCCAGAGACTCAGATAATGGTCTGGGGACCCGGGTTTGAATCCTGCCATGGCAGATGGTGGAATTTGAATTCAATAAATGTCTGGAATTAACGGTCTAATGATGACCACGAATCCGTTGTCAATTGTTGGAAAAACCCATCTGGTTCACTAATGTCCTTTTAGGGAAGGAAACTGCCATCCTTACCTCGTCTGGCCTACATGTGACTGCAGACCCACAGCAATGTGGTTGACTTTTAACTGCCCTCTGGGCAATTAGGGATGGGCAATAAATGCTGCCGAGCCAGTGATGCCCTCATCCTGTGAATGAATTTAAAAAAAAAATGCTGGGGCATGGAGGAAATAACCAGAAAACCCTAGGAATAGTTGAAACATCCAGACTGGTGAGGGCATCTCAGAAAAGAATTGAACCTGGCACAATTTTTAAAAATTGTATTATGTTATGGACATATTGAATGTTTCTTGGGTTAAATAACATCACTTTTGAAACATTGTAGCAGTGATGTTGGTGTTTACTAATATTGAAACTTTTTTATATATTCTTTTTTGAGATTGTTGAAGCAGTGAAGTTAAGCTGCTATTCCTATGGTAGTGTTCTTTGTAAGTACTTGATTTGGGAAAATATATCCTTTTTTTAGCAGTATTATTTGTCCAAATTCAAGTAATTCAAAGTAAATTATATCCAAAATTCACTCTTTTTAAAATACAGTACTCACAAAAGATGAAGCTCATCTTAGCATTTAAAATGTGGTTGATATTTTTAAGTTAAATAAGGTGACTTTTGAGTTTCCGTTGACCTCCAGGTGGGAAATGTATTTGGCAGGAAATAATTTAATGATCGGTTAGTGATGTTTAGTTAACATAAGGCAGGGTTCAGGTTTTAGTTTTTGAATTTCAGCAGTGACCTGATTGTAGTTCTTTTTTAAAAAAAAAAAAAAAAAAAAATGATTTGGTTAGGTAATTTGAGAATCCGGTTGGTCTGGAGAAAGAGGAGATGGCAATGGATGGAAAAGGCATGAATAAGACGAAGAATGAACAATCCTCAAACTAGACCCAGATCATTCATGAACTAATTTGAGAAATGTTTTGTACTACCCTTTGTATGAAAAAAAAACCAAACTCTTCACTTTCCCGGCACTCCCCACCTTGCTGACCAGAGTCTACAGGTGCTGGGTCACTTGGAGCTTTCTTGAGGTTGATAGATTTTTTGTTAGCTCAGGCAAAAGTAGACCAAATGCAGGAAATGCAGTTGAGGTGTCTTAATCTATTTGGCAAAATGGGCTTGAGAGCAGAGGGGACATTCTTGTTCCTATGTTAATAAATAAATTTATTAAATAAACAAAGTAAGCTATCTGTTTGCTAGGGAAGGATGCCAAAGTGAGCCCCTGGAATCAGCAACACCATATATTGTCATTGTCTGATTTACTGCTGGACTATCAGTTCGGGAAAATGTATAAAGCTGATCTCGACCCAAAGTTATTGATGTCATTCATGCATGACAATAAACTGGATTGTCATCAACTTGCAGCAATGCATTGTGCAGTCTTGTATCTCCAGAACAACTCAGAAACAGAAGCACAGGTACTGGACTAAAGTATTAATATAATCCGTTATGTATCCTGCATTACTCAACTTAGTATCTTTTGAGATACAGTATGAGATGCTGCACTGTTTAATAACATTGAATATTATTTGAAAATTGTGTTGTATTTGTTAGTTTACAAATTGATTGTAGTATCCCTTAGCTTTTAACCAAATGAAGTTTGAGCAGGTGAGTGGTTTATGCAACATGTACTGTGGTATGTAGGAAGGATGCACAGCCAGGTGGAAGCCAGATTTAGCGGGTGGATAGCCATCCAAAGGTTATGAAGAGGCATCCTCTGGGAGTATGGCAATATTAAACCAGTATTTAGTATTGTATTTTTAACTACATGGTGAGGTGGATGCTGCTCGGCCAGCAAGAAAAGCACCCATGTGCATCAAGGTAGGAGTATCCTCGGGCAAACAACAAATATCAAACCTGCTGAAGACTGAAGCCCACAGGCTCCTCAGAATGGAGGGGCATCTCTTTGAAACAAATCATTTAGCAGCTGGTGTGACCTTCCCTGCCGATTGTTCTGTGATGTCCTTCACTTCAACTCCTGCCGGGAGGCTGCTTCCAAGGAATTGCTGAACTCCACTCTGAAGCTAGGAACATGCCAATGAATGCTCCTTCTTCTCCTTCTGGGCATCTTAATAGGTAACTATTGGTGGGTGGCTGCTGCCATCATCTATAATTGTCCACCAAGAAGTGTCATCTCCCAAACCCATTCTGATTTTCATTTTTGTGCCCAATCCTGCCTTAAAGCCTGCTTCTGCAAGACAGAGAGAATTCAACCCACAAAGAGGTTGAATAGCCTCCTGCGTTGCACTTTGCACTTTTTTCTGATTCTTTCTGATTATTTTCTCTCTTGGTGAATATCAAACAACAAAATACATCATTCAATCCTCTTATAATTTCAATTTTCTACATTCTATGAAAAAATGCTACCTGGACACCATCTAGACCAATGAAATGTCCTGACAGAGTCCCAGCTATTCTTGAACTCTGAAGCTAATATTTGTAAAAGAACGCACACACAATTGCAAATATATAATACGGATTGATTTTTTTCTCCATGTATATAGAAAACCTGCTCCCCCTAATCTACCTTCATATAGTTTTCAAGGCATAAATTTTCATACAATGCCCCAGCCCCAGACAAGTTCCCTCTCCTCCTTTCCGTACCAGACAATCCTGAGATTTCACAACTCAAAGTCTAGATTTTATAAATGTATTGAAAGTACTAATTGCTTAGTTTTATTTTTGTAAAGAGAGAAACAATCAACAAGCAGGCTGAAAATAGATTCTCATATAATTAAGAAGTGTATTGACACCCATTTACATACTGATGCATAACATATTATGGATTAAATATAATTTCACAGTCAGAAACCTTTCAAAACTGCAGAAACAATCCTTCAAGAAGTGTGAATATATTGTTCTGTGTTTACTTCTGTGATCAATTTTTTATAGTTAGAGAAGAAATTTTAAAAATTATATATTGTATAGACGGCAAACAAAGCACAAATAAGGGATATCTTAGAGCACTTTGCCATTTAATATTCTGTTAGGAAAATAAAAGTTGGAAAATTTGCCTTCTCTCTTTATTTTTCCTCCCAACAGATTATTCACTGGATGTGTGGATTGCCTGTTTCTGGCTCTATTGATCTTATCCAGGAGTTCATCTGTGGTGAGAATGTTCATTTCAGAGTAAATACTAAGGATTGATATTTTGGTACTAAAATGTAATGTCTTCTCACCTTTTTTGAGTTTTGAGAGATTGTCGGATTGTAATTTGCTCTTTGATTTTGTTTTGTTTAAAATATCTGATTATGATATAAAGCAGATTGACTGAAAAACAAAGCTACTGTGAAGCCCTCTGATCAATTGTTCTGTGATATGTGACTTCTAAAACATGTAATTTTCTAATACCTGTAAATGCAGGTAGGTATGTTATGCTGGACAGATGTGCACACTTTCCTTTTATTCTTTATATGACAGATTCATACACAGTCACACTTTCTTATTAGAGTAAAACAAAAGTAAGCTGAAACAGTGACAAAGAACAGAATGCATGTAGTCCATAGACATACTAGTGGGCAGTCATGTGAATATTTAACTACTCCTTTACATACAGTTGAGGAGAACATTCCACTGCCCAGAAGAACCCAGTTACTCTTCAAGGTCCTATTATTACCCAATTGAAATGAAAGAAAATTTAAAATACATTCTGAGAGCGACGTAGCGTAGGATTTCCATTTAGCATTCTTAATCCCATGGCTGGAAAAAGTGTTGGGAATCCATGAATGCTGGTACTAAGACTCCGGGTAAGTTTGGAGGAGGGTGTAAATTCCATGCCACCTCCCCAGTGGCCCAGCCAACTGAAAGTGGTAGTCAAGCCCCTGCGTCTATATGGCCAGAAGGAATTGGAGCCTCAACATAGAGTGCACAGATGTGAAGTATGTAGGGAAGTGCATGGGAGCGTTGAATCAGAGATAGTAGGAACTGCAGATGCTGGAGAATCCGAGACAACAAGGTGCAGGGCTGGATGAACACAGCAGGCCAAGCAGCATCATAGGAGCAGAGAGGCTGACGTTTCGGGCCTAGACCCTTCATCAGAAAAAAAGCTTCCCTGATTGTCAGCCACAAATGGAATAAATAAAGTTGCCTGAAGAGTCTATGTCATCTGGCATGAGGGGAAATGCCCCACAGCAATGGATGTTGTTGCTGTCATGACCCATTTTTTGGAGTGGTACTTCCCACGCGAATGGAACCTCTGGCTTTGATCTCTACCAGACCTGCATTTGGAAAGCCATTACTATTTCATAGGAGGGCTCCTGGTGCAAAGGTTAACATTGGGAGAGTACCTTTAATTGTTTACCTGCTGCAGCCAGGTGGACGAGCTATCCTGCCATCATACTGATCCCTGTGCAGTGCCACAAAGGTGGGAATATGTTATACAGGGATTTCTGTACCACTATTAAGTCTGCCCAGGCCTGCCAACATGGGCCATGAAAAATCCAACCTATGGTCTTTCACCTGTTTGAAAGCTACTTCCAATCTAATAAGCATGCTTGATCCATTGTTATTTAACTTGATTATTATTCACTTTCATCTGACAAAAGCCTGATCTTAACTTCTGTATTAAATATTGAGTCAAGGACATAATCAGTTTAGCATCACTCTGGATCAATACTTTCCCTTAAGTATGACAAAGCACATGGAGTTTGCCAAAATGGACCACAATAATCGATGACTAGTTACGTTTCTAGTGTTACTTAACATTCTAGTATTTATACAAAGATCAATAGTGCTGCAGTCCAGGGGAAAAAAAAAACTTAATACTTCGTTAATTTTCTCTAAAGTTTCACAAATTTTGGTTCTCTGTCGTACAATTTCTTTGCATTTCCTCTTCAAAATGCATTTGTTTCAGGTACTTTGTACAAGAAAGCAATCTCAGAAGCAAAGATTGTGGACAAACTGCTACCATACTCATCCTTAGTTAACTGGGATGGGGTAAGATTAATCTTGTACATAATAAAATATGTTTTGGATATTTAGAAGTATAATTTTGTTCTGTCTAAATATAGAAAACTAACTATTCTTTCTGTTCTCCTCCATAGGAAATTCCAGGAGTGACCTGCCGTACAGAAATTATTTCTCTATCTGTTTTTAAGGATACGGTAAGGCTATACAATCTAGTTTTAGATTTATATATTTAACTGTTCATAATAAAACTACAAACGTTACTTTCAGAGATAGTAGGAACTGCCGATGGTGGAGAATCTGAGATAACAAGGTGTAGAGCTGAACACAGCAGGCCAAGCAGCATCAGAGGAGCAGGAAAGCTGACGTTTCGGGTCTGGACCCTTCTTCAGAAATGGGGGAGGGGAAGGGGATTTTGAAATAAATAGGGAGAAAGGGGGAGGCGGATAGAAGATGGATTTAGGAGAAGATAGGTGGAGAGGAGACAGACAGGTCAAGGAGGCAGGGTTGGAGCCTGTAAAGGTGAGTGTAGGTGGGGAGTTAGGGAGGGGATAGGTGGGTCCAGGGAGGACGGACAGGTTAAGGAGGTGGAATGAGGCTAATAGGTAGGAGATGGGGGTAGGGCTTCAGGTGGGAGGAGTGAATAGGTGGGAGGACGGCTTAGGGAGGCGGGTACGAGCTGGGCTGGTTTCGGGATGCGGTAGTGGGAGGGGAGATTTTGAAGCTTGTGAAGTCCGCATTGATACCGTTAGGCTGCAGGGTTCCCAAGCGAAATATGAGATGCTGTTCCTGCAACGTTCGGGTGGCATCGCTGTGGGCCTCCTGCAAAATCACATCTAGTGTTTCGACAAATCCACTGGACTATTGAATGTTTGCTGTGGTTGGTTCGTTAGTTCATTATTTCATTACCCTGCTGGGTAACATCATCAGTGCAGCCTCTGATGAAGTGCTGTTGTGTTTTCACGCCTAGTATTTAAACTCTGGGGTCGGTTGGAAATGGTTACCTCATTTCTGTTTTTTGTTTTTTTTTTGGCAGTGTTGTGTATATATAGGGCTTAATTCTATGTGTTTATTGATGGCCTTCTTGGTGTAGAACCAAGCCTCTAGAAACTAAAATACTGAATGTTTGTTTGAATTGGAGCTCAGTGTTCAGTATTGCTGACTTCTTCCAATGGACTGAAATATAAATATACAAATCGTCATGAGAAATAGTTTAGGAGTAACAATCTTGGCCTCCAACCTGCTCTGTCATTCAATAAAATCATAGCTAATCTGATTACAGAATAATAGGGTTTGTGGACCAACATTTAAAAAAAGTTAGTTAGAGCTAACCATTCTTTTATGATCTTTGGCTCACAGTGATATGTTGTGATTGAGTGAAATACATTGACAATTCTCTCCTCCCCTCCCCAAGGCACACTGAAACAGTTTGCTTTTCTGAAATGTAACCAGATTATGCTAAATGTACAGATTAGCAGGTTGAGTGTCAGATGCCGTTTATTTGTGGCTAAACTAATGTGACGTGATTCCTTTTTAAAACCTGTTAAGCCAAACTTTTGATGATCTGCCCTAATATCCTTTTATCTGGCTGAATATCAAGTTTTGTTTGATGTTTTTGTGAAACTTCTTTGCTTTGTTTGAGAAACTATAAAAGTTTTTTTTTGCTCCCTGCTCTGGAGCCTTGTACAATATTTTATTGCTTGCTTGTCAGTTTGTTTTGTTTTAAAACAAGCACATACATCTTCTTTACAGATTCAAAATCTTAAAGGGTTTTGGGCAGAGCTAAACAGGAATGTGGAATTTGTGACGAATTTAGAATGTTTTCATAATCCATGGCACAATAATAGCTCAAGAAGAATCAAAGCGCGACTGTATTCAGAAATGGTAAGATGATTTAGATGAAATATAGAAAGATAGAAAATAGGAGCAGGAGGTCATTCACCCTGCTACACCATTCATTTGAGTATGACTGATCTTCTAACCCAATAGCCTATTCCTGATTTTCCCCATATCTTTTTGATTCCTTTAGCCTCAAGTGCTGTATACAACTCCTTCTTGAAATCATCTAATATTTTGGCCTCAACCGCTTTCTATGGTAGTGTTTTCCACTGCCTCGATGAAGAGGTTTCTCCTCATCTCAATCCAAAATGGTTTTACCCCTATCCTGAGACTGTGACGCCCTGGTTCTGGGTTCCTTTGCCATCAGGAACATCCTTCTTGCACACACCCTGCCAGTCCAATTTCTTTGAGATGCTCCCTACCCCCACCTTATTCTTCTGAGCTGCAACGAATATAACCCTAACTGATTCAACCTCTCCTCATACATCAGTCCTGTCTTCCCAGGATTCAGGCTGGTAAATCTTCGTTGTAGTTCCTCAGGAGCAAAACCATTCTTCCTCCAAGGAAACCAAAACTGCACATTGTTCCAGGTGTGGTCTCACCAAAGCCCTGTATAACTGCAGCAAGACATCGTTACCCTTTTATTCAAATCCTCTCCCCATTGAAGGCCAACTTTTACCTTTATCACCTGCTGCATATGTATGCTTACCTTCAGTAATTGGTGTATGAGGATACCCAGGTCTCGTTGTACATTCCCCCTCTCAACTTATCGTTAATTAGCTAATAATCTGCCTTCTTGCTTTTGCTACCAAAGTGGACAACCTTACATTTATCCACATTGTACTGTATTTCCCATGCATTTGCCCACTCACTTACCTTGTCCAAATTACACTGCGGCACATCTGCATCCTCCTCACAACTCGCTGTCCCACCCAGCTTTGAATCATCTGCAAATTTAAGGATGTCACATTTAGTTCCCTCATCAAAACATTTAATACATATTGTGAATAGCTGGGAGTTTAGCACTGATCCCTGTGTACCCCACTAGTCACTGCCTGCCATTTAGAAAAAGACCTGTTTATTCCTACTTTGCATACTGTTTGGCAACAAGTTTTCTGGCAATCTCAATACTTTATCTCCAATTCCATGCACTTTAATTTTACATGCCAATCTCTTCTGTGGAACTTTGTTGAAAGTCTTTTGATGGTCCAAATAAATCACGTGCTCTGGCCCTTCATCAACTCATCCAGTTATATTGCAATAGATTTATCAGCCATGATTACATTTCCATAAAATCCAAACTGACTCTCTGAATTAATATAGTTTTTAATACAAACATTAGTTGAACTACTTAGGACCTTTTTGAATGTTACTTGAAGGTGGCAGTTCACTTTAAATAAATCTTAAAGTATTATAAAAGCAAATCTGAGAGAACACAAAATGCTGCAAAATCACAGCAGGTCTGGCAGCACCCGTGGACAGAGAGAAACAGAGCCAACAGGCATGATTATCCCTTTCCTGGAAGTAGGCAAATAATTGGGCGAGTTGGTCCTGGAGATAAATTTGCTTCCTCTTCTCTCCCGTTCAGCAGTTAAGTGTTGGGTGAGATCTATCGGTAATCTTCTGGACTTCTCTTTAATCAAGGATGTTACCTCAACTCAACTCACCGCTGGCCTGACAATCTGCCTTCCTGGCAAGTGAGAAAAGTGGCTAATCCCTTGTCTGTTGGGTTGGTTGGAGGGTCTTCCAGTCGACCACAAGGATCAAGGAGACGGTTGCTAAGGATCCCTGTCCTTGTCTCTGACCATCCTTTTTGCCTGTGATCCCTATGCCCCCTAAAAATCTGCCAGAAAACTGCTTGCCCCTCTTCCCATCTAAATTTATCTATCATACTTGCTTGTATAAAATGCACAGCTCCAAAGCCGCAATGTCTTTCACCAGATTTGGGGATTCAAAACAATGTTTTGTGTGCATGTCCAAGTCTTATAACCCAAATATAGTACATTTAGTTTCTATGGAAAAAACAGTTTGAATATAAGTTCTCATAGGGCTTTTCAATTATTTCAGAAAGTGGATGAAAAGGCAAACCAACACTACAGAAATATTTTAGAAAATGCCAAAACGTAAGTTAATTTTCTAACTTCTAAAGAATATTCATGGTGAATTAATTTCCAAAGTACTCTACACTGTAAATTTAGCAGAAGAACCAGGGAAAGCCTGGAAAAATGGCAATTTTCCACTTTTTTTGGATTTTCCACTGAAGTTATGGTAAAAGAGAGTGAAAGTAGCCATTGAAATTCGTTCCCCAAATTATTTTATCTTATTTATCAGCCTATTGGTTATTTGAAGATGCTGAAGTTCTTTTCAATTTGTACAGGATACTTTCAAAAGTGGATACATGTTCCTCAGGTAGGAAAATATGGTTTGATATTAATTGTGTAGGAATCATATTCTCTAATATTGGACTCAGGGCTGTACTTCAAGTATAACTACTCAGAAGGCTCAAGTTAGACCATAAGACATAGGAGCAGAAATTAGGCCATTCAGCCCACTGAGTCTGCTCCGCCATTCATTCATGGCTGATAAGTTCCTCAACCCCATTCTCCTGCTTTCTCCCCGTAACTCTTGATCCCCTTGATAATCAAGAACCTACCTATCTCAGTCATAAAGTTAGTATTGATTTGAGCTTTTAGTAGAAATGTGGTGAACTTTACATAACTGAGATGCTAATTTTATATATGATGGGTATAAAATCTTGGTTGATACATAATCATTGTGTTCTTCATTATTTTTAACACAACTTACCAACATACAAACATGTGAATTAGGACCAGAAGCAGACCATTTGACCCCTTGAGCCTGCTTTGCTGTTGAAGTAAGATTGCGGCTGATCTGTTTGTGTTTTAAATTCCATGTTCCCTTCTGTGCCAATCACCTTTTTCCCTAACAAGAATTTCACTCCCTCTGTCTTAAAAATGTTCAATGACACTGTCTCCACCACCTCTGAGAGACTGTTCCAAAGTGGCGTGAATCTCAGAAAAGAAATTCCTCTAATCTGTCCTAAAAGATCAAAGCCTAATCTTTAAAACAATGCGCCCTATTTCTGGACTCCCCAACAAGAGTAAACATAATTTCCTTTCCACCCGGTCAAAACTATTCGAGGATCAAGTCACCCCTCATTCTTCCAAACTTCAATGAAAACAAGCTCAACCTCATTAGTGTTTCCTCATAAAATAACCTGTTCATCCTAGATATCAATCTAGTAAACCTCCTCTGAACTGTCTCCAATACATTTACATCCATCCTTTTACATATGGAGTTCAAAACTGCACACAGTATTCGCGTTCTGTTAAGATTTTTGTAGTGTCCAGCTGTAATCAACGTAGTAATCACTTAAATGCTTTCTCACAACAGACATAAAGCTAACTGGCTTAGAGTTTGAATTGCAAATGCATTACTTTCAATTGTTGAGTGATGATTCACTTGTAAATTTTCCTTTGGAGTTTGCATGCAAATGAAATATTTGTCCTGTAGGCAAACCTAGAAGAAATTTGAATAAGAATAAGTATTTTCCTTGCAGGCAATTAATTAGGAAATCGTAATAATTTTTCTCAATTGAACAAAAGGTGTGTGGGCTGATTCAAAGTTGGTGAATACTTCACTTTTCTTTAACAGAACAGAAAGCTGTTCCCTTATTTCAGGACGAAGACGGCCACCAGATGGTGCTGATAGGACTGGTAAGGAACGCAGTTGGGGGTGTATCCTGTGTATTATGCTGGAATTGTTTTAAATATTCTCATGAGATGTGTCATTGCTGGCAAAACCAGCACTTGTTGCCCATCCGTAATTGCCCTTGAACTGAGGTGACTTACTTGGCCATTTCAGAGGGCAGTTAAGAGTCGAGCATATTGTCATGGACCTGGAGTTATGTGCAAGCCAGGCTGGGTAAAGTTGGTAGATTTTCATCTCTAGAGGATATCACTGAACCACGTTGAGCTTTTTCCAACAGTTATTGTTTGTTGTCATGGTCACTGGTAGTGAGACTAGCTTTATATTTCGGATTTAGGAACTGAATTTAAATTCATCAGCTGCTATGGTGGGATTTGAACTCGTGTCCCTGACCATTAAGCTGACCTTCTGAATTACTAGCCCAGTGACTTTCTACCTTGAAAGTAATGAGAAACAGAAGGAAAAACAATACTCTTGACTCAAGCTTCTCATCTGATTTACAAATATTGTGCCAAAATATTTTTATTGAAGAAATTTATAGTGTGTAAGATTCACACTCTTATTGATGTTCACAGATTGATTAGTTGTCTGCGGCACCCATAACCTGCTATACTGGGCGAAATATGCCGTACCTACAGAGACTGCAATTCATGACTTCAAACTGCAGCCCCTTCTTTTACTATGGCATTACAGCGTGGTTGAGTAATTTAAGACTGTTAACTTGTGATTCCAGTAGGCGGATTGAGCGGTTCAAGGTGGCAACGCACCACTACCTGCTCAAGGGCAACTTGGGATGGGCAATAAAATGCTGGTCAGCTGGTGATGTCCACATCCCACAAGTGAATAAAAACAAAACCATTTTTGCACATTTCTTCTGCAGTTTCCAATGTAGTTCCTTCCTGTAATGTGGCATTGAGAATTGCACACATTACTCCAGCTGAAGTCTAACAAGTGTCTTGTACGCATTCACCATAACCTCTTTGCTTTAGTGCTCTGTACCCCGACTAATATAACCCAGGACACTGTACACTTTGCTACCTGCTCTCTCCACCTTTTTAATGACTTTTGCATGTATACACCAAAATCCTGTACTCCTGGCACATTGCAGAAGGAGGTGTTCTCTGCCCCTGCAGCTACTTTGAGGACAGCATCTGGTGACAGAATCTGGGTGTGCATGAAGGATCTATCTGATGGGTAGTGCTGATCTCACCACCAGCCAGGCCATGTCTTGGTGCTTGTTGGAAAGTTCTGGCGATAAGGCATTTTGCCAAATGACTTTGGCAGTCTGCATAGAGAACCAGCCAACGGGATCAATCCTCTCCATTTCCACAGGGTCTCGGACATTATGTGCTGACCTCTGCCCAATGGACTTGTGGTCAAAGGTGTTTTCCTGTGCAAGTCCCTGTACGAGAGACAGGTGATATGGCATGCTCCAAGTACTTGGAGTGTTCCACAGCCCTGATGCAACACCCATCCTTTGTAACACGGGGGCCAAAATGTAGTGACACTTGGTGTTTCTGGATTGAGGGTCTACGCACATCTTGATGCAGCCACATATGAAGGTGGCCATCATGGTGAGGGTGATGTTGGGTACGTCCTCTCCCCTCACCCACCACCACCCCTCACCCCACACCCCACAGCTTCGTACATTGTGTCCCTGCAGAGATGGTCCATCTTTGATGTCCAGATAAAGTGAAAGACAACTCTGGTGACTGCATTAGCTATGGGCTAGACCAGCGCCACATACAGAAACAGAGTTTACCTCACGCTTGATGACCATGTTTTTACTCACAATGGAGAGGGAGCAGTGAACCCATCTGCCCACTTTCTGCTTCACCTTGGAAATACGCTTCTCCAAGTTTTAGTATGTGCCCCAGCCCCTCTGAACCATATTCCTAGCACCTTCAGATAATCTGGTCTGACGGTGAAAGGGAGAAAGGATCGGTCAACCCAGTTCCCAAAGAACATTGTCTCTCTCATGCCTTGATTTACCTTGGCTCCTGAGGCTGGTTCTTCTGACAATTGATTGTAGTCCTTCTGGTCACCATTAGAAAGAACAGTTTCCAATTTCAGATTTATTAATTGAATTTATATTATACAAATGACATGTCAATTCCAACTGACAGGACAACATATTGATACTGTACCCACCCACCACCGCGCCCCCCCCCCATTATTGGATAAATTATTACATGATTCATTAAGTATAGTTCCCACCAGTTAAAATATTCATGTTTATAATGGGCAGTTGCTTGACTAAAAACCACTAACCATTTTTATTAGTGTCAACTTCAAAGTTGTCAGCTATAGCTTTGTAAGAACTTTGCTTATTCTGAGCAGAAACAGCATTACTTGCTCATTCCTTCACTCCTTTAAGTGGATTGAAAGGATGACTTCTCTTCCATGGCAAATGTGTGTAAGTGACAATCTTTGACTGTTACATTAGCCTCATACATAATTGTAAAACCCAGTTTGTTCAAAAGTGCTTCCTGCAAGGGTTAGGAATGTTACTGTTATTTAAAGGCCATTGTCAAATTCTTCAGTGTATTGGCTGCAAAACGGCAGATTATTTTATCACTGTTTTTGTTGCAGTGAAAAATGTAATCTTAATTGTGATCAATACTTTCATTCCTATAGATGGTTGAGAAACTGAAGGAATACCTTATGAAATATCTTCAACATATAGGAAAGAAGAAGATTGACGTGATAGTTAACAACTATGCTGTGAACTTGGTTTGTGATGCTTTCCTTATTTTTAACACAAAGTGATTGATTGAACATTAATTAGACAACTATCACTTATAGTACACTTGGCTATTTTCCTGCCATGCCACAGTTTGGTATTTTAGCCCATGCAATCTGTTTAAGTAAAGTACGCTCATACTCGGCTTTTGCCATGTGTGAAACAGTTTGTTTTTCTTGTGTCAAATGGTTATGCAAGCAGCAAAAATTAGCCCAAACTGAATTGCTCTAGCCATGTTTACATTTGCATCATTTCCCATCAGTTTAAGTTACAATTGTGTTGTAAACTTTGCTATATTATGCAATAGGTACAGTTATGCTTAATCTGTAGAAGGGCCTTAAAAGTACAGAAGCTTCTCTACGTTGAATAGTTTGTAACATGACTGAATAGAGCATCGATTTGAAATGGAAACAACTATATATTGATTGGAAAAACTCAAGTATATAACAAATATTTATAAGGGCTAGGTACATCAAGATGGGAGTGAAAGAAGCGATATATAAACTGGGGCTATTTAAAATACCAACTACTGTTACATTGTAGGGAATGACTAGTCATCCAATTCCAAGTTATCGTGGTAAAAAGTCAACACTTAGATCTTCATTTGAATGCACCTAACATTTGTAATATAATAGATGAGTCAATAGTGCAAATAAAAAGAAATAAGATTTAATAGGTATTAAGAAGATATGGCTACAGGGTGGCTAAGACTGGGATCTCTATATTCAAGGGTAATTAACATTACAGAAGAACAAACAAAAAGGAAAAGGAGGTGGGATAACGAGGTATAGAGCTGGATGAACACAGCAGGTCAAGCAGCATCAGAGGAGCAGGAAAGCAGACGTTTCGGGCCTAGACCCTTCTTCAGAAAGTGATCTCGTGCATAAAAAGGTTACAGACCACTGCCTCGGTTTATTTTCCCAACCCACGTTAGATAACTCTAATTATGCCTTTATTTAAGTTTAAGGACACTGGTTTGAAGCCAGAGTTGCTCTCCTTCAAACTGAATTTGAAATTTTACCATGTTGTGATCTAAACTGTTTTCTGAAGTGCATTAGGAATTGTTGCTTAGAAAAATAAATTGCAGAATCCTCCCCAAGAACAGTTAGTTTAGATCTAGTAATGTGTAGTGAGATCAGATTAATGAGATCTCGTACTTAAGGATCCTCTAGATCACAATATGGTAAAATTTGAAATTCAGTTTGAAGGAGAGCAACTCTGGCTTCAAACCAGTGTCCTTAATATAAATAAAGGCAATTACAGATACATAATTAGAGTTATCTAAAGTGGGTTGGGAAAATAAACCGAGGCAGTGGTCTATAATCTTTTTAAGCACAAGATCACTTTTTTGAATTTGTGCAAGCACCTAAGAAAATATAGTTCATTTTTGGTGTCATGCAAATCCAAAAGCTAGCAGATATATTAATCACTTTGTCCTGTACTCACCAAGTCTCAGTGTGACAACAGTGACTACACATTATCTGCCAGTGCGTTGAAGTCTAGATTGTAGTTTGAGTCTGCTAGTTGTATACAGTCCAGCAGATGGGTGTCCATGAGGTGGGTCTGATCCTTGGACTTCATTATCTTCATTTGGAAGAATACTGTCTCACAGAGGCACGTGAGACAAAGTAAGCTCTCATTTTCAAAGCACAGGATTATAGGAGTTGGTATTTATCTCAGTTTAAAAGTCCCTCAAACTCACTGTCTGATTACAGCTCAATATCATTTCTCATAGTCATTATCTCCATTAACTCCGCTGCTTTGTAAATCAAAAACCTAATGGAATTGCCAAACCACCAACATCTACTTGAAGGAATGAATTTGAGACAAACCTAAGACTTTGTTCCATCACATCTAATTCCTAAAATTGGCTGTTAAATGCTTCTTCTAATATTTCTCAGGTGTGCACAGAGGTTTCTGGATAGAACCATCTGTCTCTGAATTTGCATTTTTTTTCTAGTATTTTCTCCAGACTTGAAGTGGTGCAGTGTTTTTCATTTTTTAATTGGGAGGACAACAGACCCAGTTTCAACTTCAGTGCCTTCACAGCACTGATCATATGTGTTGAGTCTTCGTCATTTCCCTGCAGTTCACAGGTTAGCTTGTTCAGTTTTTGTTCTGTCTATGAGGAACCTGAAAGTCAAACAACCACAGTTGACAGTTCACTGCACACTCCATTCCTTGAGGAAAAGTGATAATTTTGGGCATCAGATCTAAACAAAAATCTTCCCAGGACCTTCCCTTGACTTAACCACCTCACACAGCATGGAGGATTAATTCACTGTAGGCAGCATCAAGTTTGTTGAGTAAGGATTTAAACAAACGGCGTTGAGGGTCTCTTGCTCATGTCAATTTTACAAACTTAACAATGACATTCATTATTGGAGAGAAGTCCACAATTTTACTTAGTAATGCTTGCTGGAGGATTTTTTACAGTGATAATTGAAAAGGAAATCGTGATCATTTCTGCAAAATGTAACAATGCCCATATCTGTGCCAATCATGGCTGGTGCATCACCAGTTGTGATGGAAGCTGGTTTCTTGATGGGAATAAATTTTTCTCAAGCTCTTACCTTTTGAATTTGTTGTAGATATTCTCTGTTCTTGTTCTTTAAGGCACAAAAGGGTGAGACAATCCTCTATAGTTGTTATTTCTTTAACGCTGTGCACACAAAATCAATCAGTTGTGTTGTGTTGGTAATGCCAATGGATTCATCAAACTGCAGTGACAGACATTCAGGCCCTGCTGTAGTTGCTGAAAGACCTCTTTGGACAAAGATTCCATTTGTCTCACTACTGTAGAAGCACCAAGTGACATTCTTGGGATTGCTGTTGTTTCTTGCTTCTGAAGTCTTTGAATAAAAAGTCAGTGGCCAAGTCATTGCATCTTTGATTACTTCTCCATCTGGCAATGTTCCTTCTTTTAGCAAAAGATGGCAAACGTGAAATGATGCTTCACTGCAGGCCTTACTTTTGCAACTGGCTTAGTAAAAACGTGACTATTGAGCTTTCAAAACAGCCTTCAGCTCATCACCTTTCTTTGTCGGAAAAATTCTGTTCAAAGGAGACTACTCCTTGAATTTGCTCTGCATCATTGTGTAGTGTTGTTCCAAATTCCTTTCTTTACTTGTGGATATACTTTGACATGCAAGGCCAATGTTCTTGCCCCTTTACAGTTATGAACAGACATTAATTCTCTCATTCATTCTGTATGGAAGTTGAACATTTTTTTGGTTTCTTTTTACATGGTCCAGGGTCATCGTTCATCATCATTATTGCTTCATCTTGTAATTGTAACATTGCTCTGTTGGGAATCCTGCAGGTCAACTTCTGGATCGGCGCCTTTGGAACATCCAGAATGTTATTGGCTGCCTTACAAGTGTGGAGGCACGGGAGGTCACTTCTGTGGTCACAGTTTGTTTCTAGGGCCTCTGTTAGGCTTGTTTTGCTCTGCTCAGATATTGGATGTGGGCAGTAGCAGTCTTCCCATAACAGTTCTTGGTCCTGCATTGGAACTATCAGATAAGCGGCCAAAGGAAGGAAAACTGCAGGTCTACAGAGAATGGACAGTGGAATGGATCCAGCTGAGCTGTTCTTGCAGAGTCTGCATGTACATGATGGGCTAAGTAGCCTCCTATGTTTCTAATTCTATATTTACTGGCTTCCCATCAAATTCTTGTGTACTCCTTCTTAGAGTCATACAGCATGGAAACAGACCCTTCGGTCTAACCAGTCCGTGCCAAACATAATCCCAAACTAAACTAGTCCCACTTGCCTGCTCCTGGCCCATATCACTCCAAACCTTTTCCTATGCATGTACTTAACCAAATGTCTTCTAAATATTGTAATTGTACCCACATTCACCACTTCCTCAAAGTTCATTCCACATGCAAACCACCCTTTGTGTAAAAAAATTTGCCTCTTGTGTCTTTTTAAAATTTCTCTCTCCTCTCACCTTAAAAATATGCCCCGTAGTCTTGAGATTCCAAATCTTAGGGAAAAGACGACTACCATCAACTCTATCTATGCCTCTTATTAACTTATAAACTTCTATCCGGTCACCTCTTAACCTCCTATGCTCTAGTGAAAAATGTCCCAAATAATCCAGCTTTTCTTTATAACTCAAACCTTCCATACCCGGCAACATCCTGGTAAATCTCTTCTGAACCTTCTCCAGCTTGATGATAACCTTCCTATAACTGGGCGACCAGACCTGGACACAGTATTCTAGAAGAGGGCTCACCAATGTCCTGTACAACCGCCCAACATAACGGCCCAACTCCTGTACTCAAAGGACTGAGCAATGAAGGCCAAACACCTTTTTAACCATCCTGTCTATATGTGATGCAAACTTTAAAGAATTATGTACCTCCACCTCTAGGTCCCTCTGTTCTACAACACTACCCATGGCTTTTGTTAATTGCTAGAATTAATTATTAAGGAAGAAATAGCAAGGCATTTAGAAAAGCTTCATGTAATCCAAAGTTAGCATTCTTTTGTGAAAAGGAAATAACCTTGGACAAATTGCTTGTTATATATTCAAAGAAATGTAGACAGAGTTGATTAAAAGAGAATTGGGATATTTGGATTTTCAGAAAGCATTCAATAAGGTGCCATATAAAAGATTGTTGCATGAGATAGGAGCTCACAGTATTGTGGGTAGTGTAATGGAATGGATTGAGGATTGGTTCACACACTGAAGGCAGCCAGGATTAATGGGTCTTGTTTGAAAGATATAAGTAGTAGAGTGAGCACAAGGATCTCTCGGAGACCTTCAGTTATTTACTGTCTATATTAATGACTTGGATGAGGATAGTGTGATTTCAGATTTGCTGACAATACAAAGATGGTTGGGAGGGCATGTTATGATCAGGACATAAGGAATCTACATGGGATTCAGCAGGTGGAGTTTAATGTGGGAAAGTGTGATGTTATGCGCTCTGGTTAGAAGAATCAAAAGATAGACTATTATTTAAAGGAACGAGACTCCAAAAAATGCAGCACAGAAAGACCTGGGTGATTTTATGCATGTAACACAAGTTAACATGTGGATGCAGCAAGCAATTAAGAAGTCAAATGGAATTTTGGGCTTTATTGCTAGGAGATTTGAATTTTAAAATAAGGAAGTCTTGCTATAACTCAATAGGTCATTGCTGAGGCCACATTTGGAGTAGTGTGTGCAGTTTTTAGATGTTGAGAAAAGATGTAGTGGCAATGGAGGCAGTCCCAAAGAGATTCACTGGGCTGATTCCTGGAATAAATGGGTTGACTTATCAGAAAAAGTTACAGGTTAGGCTTTCATTTCATTAGAGTTTAGAAGAATGAGGAATAATCTTATTGACACATGTAAGATTGTGAGATGTTTTGATAGGCTAGATGTTGAGAAGATGTCCCCAGAAGTGGGGGACTCTTGAACTTGGGGACACAGTTATGGAATGAGGGGGCATTCAGTTAAAACTGAAATGCAAAGGAATTTCTTCTCCCACGAGGTAGTGAATGGCTGTGCTATTCCAGATAGTTGTGGAGACTAGGTCACAAAGTATTTAAAGAGAAGCTAGTTTTTTTAAATACTGGGGAATTAATGGCTGTGCTAAGCTGGCACATGAGGAATTGAGGCATAAGCTCGACCAGCCAAGATCTTGAGTGGTGGGGAAAGCTTGAGGGGACAAATGGCCTACTCCTGTTTATGTGGTTGAACTGTTTAAGCACTGTTTGAGGTTTAAAACGAACTGTGCACCAATTTTGATGGAAACTTGTGAAATTTAATTTTATGACTGCCTTGAACAAATTAGAATTAATTGTTTTTTTTCTTTTTAGCTTGAATGCACCTGGCAGATTATAGACAAGATATGGAAAAAGTACAACCTGAATGCCCACATCCTGTGCTTGTAAGTGATGTTATTGTTAAAGTAGCTCTAAAAGGGAAACTTGAATGTAGACTGATGAGAACATTTGTGTGTGCTGATATTGTTAATAGAAATTTGTTCCAGTTCTATTCAAAACCAGTGAGAAAGAAGGCAGAGAGGGCATACTTTAATTTTGTTTACAGAAAAATAGATTAAAATCATTTTTTGGATTTTATATAGCAGCAAAGTAGATCAGATTATTTTGGAGCCGCAGTTCCTCTTTTTTTAAATGTAAACTTAAATAAAATAAGGTGCTCATACAAACATGGGGGCACCTGTTACATGACTAACTACAACAACATTTTGCATTAGTTTGACACTCAATGCACAGTGGTATTATAGGATGCTTTAAGGGAGCATAATCATGTGTAAATTGAATGATGAGAAGAAGGGATGAGCTCAAGTTCGGACAAATGTAGGTACGGACCATTTAAATCTGGTCTTAAAGGAAAAGGGAGAGATGCAGCGATCTAGGAGAAGGAATTCCAGACCTTCAGAGCAAAAGACACAAGGACACACAAAAAAGGGTGAAGACAAAGACTGTGCAGCTCATTGAGCCTCCTCCACTATTTATTTAATTGATAGTGACTGAACTTGGGCTTCAGCTCCACTTTTTTTCCACTTGCTCCTGATAATCATTTGATACCCTCTCTATCTGAGCCTTAAATAAAGGTGATGGCTGGGTGAACGCATGGCCACCACTAGTTGGAAACAGGAGTTGGGATACATAACAGGCCAGAATTAGAGCTGAGTCTTTAGCAGTTTGTTGGAATGAAGAGATTGAATCAGGATGAGCATTTTAAATTTGAGCCATTGTGGACCAGAATACAGTGTATGTTAATGAGCACAGAGCGTTTGAAGTAGAAGTTTGAAAAGTTCAAGTTTTTGGTCAATACAAGATAGAAGATTGTGCAGATGAACATTAAACGAGTTGAGTAGAGAGTTAATAGATGTACGGATTAGAGTTTCAGCAATATACTTACTTCGGTTGTGGGTAAAGCGTTGGAAAGGACTATAAGAGATAGGATTTATAATCATCTAGAAAGGAATAATTTGATTAGGGATAGTCAACACGGTTTTGTGAAGGGTAGGTCGTGCCTCACAAACCTTATTGAGTTCTTTGAGAAGGTGACCAAACAGGTGGATGAGGGTAAAGCGGTTGATGTGGTGTATATGGATTTCAGTAAAGCGTTTGATAAGGTTCCCCATGGTAGGCTATTGCAGAAAATACGGAGGCATGGGATTGAGGGCGATTTAGCGGTTTGGATCAGAAATTGGCTAGCTGTAAGAAGACCGAGGGTGGTGATTGATGGGAAATGTTCATCCTGGAGTTCAGTTACTAGTGGTGTACCTCAAGGATCTGTTTTGGGGCCACTGCTGTTTGTCATTTTTATAAATGACCTGGATGAGGGCGTAGAAGGATGGGTTAGTAAATTTGCGGATGACACCAAAGTTGGTGGAGTTGTGGATAGTGCGGAAGGATGTTGCAGGTTACAGAGGGACATAGATAAGCTGCAGAGCTGGGCTGAGAGGTGGCAAATGGAGTTTAATGCAGAAAAGTGTGAGGTGATTCACTTTGGAAGGAGTAACAGGAATACAGAGTACTGGGCTAATGGTAAGATTCTTGGTAGTGTGGATGAGCAGAAAGATCTCGGTGTCCATGTGCATAGATCACTGAAAGTTGCCACCCAGGTTGATAGCGTTGTTAAGAAGGCGTACAGTATGTTAGGTTTTATTGGTAGAGGGATTGAGTTTCGGAGCCATGAGGTCATGTTGCAGCTGTACAAAACTCTGGTGCGGCCGCACTTGGAGTATTGCGTACAGTTCTGGTCACCGCATTGTAGGAAGGACGTGGAAGCATTGGAAAGGGTGCAGAGGAGATTCACCAGGATGTTGCCTGGTATGGAGGGAAGGTCTTATGAGGAAAGGCTGAGGGTCTTGAGGCTGTTTTCGTGAGAGAGAAGAAGGTTAAGAGGTGACTTGATAGAGACATACAAGATGATCAGAGGATTAGATAGGGTGGACAGTGGGAGCCTTTTTCCTTGGATGGTGATGGCTAGCACGAGGGGACGTAGCTTTAAATTGAGGGGTGATAGATATAGGACAGATGTCAGAGGTAGGTTCTTTACTCAGAGTAGTAAGGGCGTGGAATGCCTTGCCTGCAAAAATAGTAGACTCGCCAACTTTAAGGGCATTTAAATGGTCATTGGATAAACATATGGATGATAATGGAATAGTTTAGGTTAGATGGGCTTCAGATTGGTTTCACAGGTCGGCGCAACATCGAGGGCCGAAGGGCCTGTACTGCGCTGTTATGTTCTATGATCTATGTTCTATGATCTATGATCTATGATCTATGATCTGGCTGTGGCTATCAGTGGAAGTAGATGAGAATAATGCTGGAGGTCACAAGGTAAACTTCCCAGCATGTAAAACAGTCAGGAAAAATGGAAATTTACTATTATTCTAATGCTAAGAAGAGAATTAGTAAAATTCTAGAATTTTATTGTTGATGGTTTCTTCTTTCACCAGTTTTAGCTTCACTTGATTTTATTTTGAGGGAAGGGAAAGTGTTAACTTTTTGATGCATAAACATTAGATCTTCTGTCCAACAAAAAGCCATAGATACTTCAGTTTAATGTATGGAATCTTTGTGTACTAAGATCACAATGGGGATTACAGTCACTTTGCAAGGACATGAGTCCTTATTGGACTTGTTGCTTATTATGTATGGTGTCTGATTTGCTTCCCTTCCATTGTAAATTTGACAGCATCTTTAACACGTGACTATGCACTATTTCTCTATTTTGCAAGATTGTCAATGATGCATTTTACTTCAGTAACTCTCAAATACTTTGTAAATTGAGATTTAGAGTCAGTCTGTTTTTTTGGTACTTTGTAGGGCCAACAGAGAGAAAGTAAATTCTGCAGAGTTAGTTGTATTCCGCATGATGGCTCGTGTTTTGGAAGCTGCTGAAGGACTTGTTCTGCCTCTACCGCCAGGTAATGTGAATTGGTTAATAAGCATAACTTTCAAACTAAGAAAGGATACTTGTTCTAATTTGTATTTTTTCTTTGAATGAAATGAAGCTAGAGGATGGTTGATATTGACAGTCCTCTATCCACGAAACTGATGACTTGTCCCAAGACTATGATCCTAGCTGTAGACTGAAACTAGGGTTAACAATCTTTCAAGGTAACCCTGTCAAGCCCTTTCCAGATTTTTTTAATATGTTTTTGATGAGATCATTCTTCTAAACTCCAGTGGCCTGTTTTACTCAATCTCTCCTTATGGGACAACCTCTTTGAACAAGAAATTAATCTAGTGAACTTTCAATGTGTCTCTTCTAAGACAAGTATATTCCTTCTAAAGACGAGGAAATTAAAACTGTTATCTGTACTCCCCTTGTATCATTGCAGCAAGATCTCCTGGTGGTTATATTCCAATCTCTTTGCAATAGGTTCAATATAAAATTTGTCTTCCAAACAAGTTTCTCCATTTGCAGCCAACTTTGTTATTTGTATATATGAATCCTGAAATCCCCCTGAATACAGACATTTACTTGATTTACACTTCCGAACATTATACTCTATCTGATGCATTCTTGTCCAGTCACTGAACTGGCCTTTACGCTTTTGGAGTTTCTTTTTCACTTGGCTTTGTGTAGTTAACAAACTGGCATATGTTGAATTTGGTCTACTTGTCTAAGTCATTAATGTAGTGTATAAACAGCAGCGGCCCAAGTACTGATGCTTGTGATAATCTACTAGTATCCCAAAAATGCTCCATTTATTCCTACTCTATGTATTTCATTCATTAATTGTTGGTTTATGGATTATGTTGTCTGTAATTCCTTTATAATCTGTATCAATCTGTTGTGTCAATGCTTAATGAATTTATTCTAAAAATATAAAATATACTACATCCACTATTTCCTATTGCATATAGCCTATTAGATGCACTGCTTTTTGAAAAAAAGTTTGAACAGATTTGTAAACTGTGAATTTTTTAAAAAATCAGCTTTGGATGTGTTTGCCGCTGGCAACAGCTAACGTTTGTTGCCTGTCTCTAATTGCTTTTAAGATATGGGTGGCAAGTCTTCTTCCTCAATATAACAGAATAGCTTGTTTGGTCATTCCAGCAAGAAATTAAGAATCGGCCATAATGCTTTGGGGCTAGAGTCACATCTAAGGTAGATTAGGTCATGGACTATAGATTTATTTCCTGAAAGAACAAGGGAGTGTTGCACTGTTGGAGGTGTTGTCTTTTGGAGCAGATGTTAACCTAACTCTGTTGGTCTGATTGTGTGGATGTAAATAATCCACAGCTCTATTTCAGACAAGTGATTTGGAGTTGGGGTGGGGAGGTGGTAGAAGATTTCATCCGCAGTGTACTGGTTCTATATTTATCTCTCGGTCAACAACACGGAGAAAAGAAGATCATTTGGGCATTGTCATTTTGCTGTTTGTCGGTGTTTGCAGAGTGCGACATAAATGGTGTTTTGTATGTTTTAACAGTGACTGATTGATTGATTATGTTTTGCAAAAGTACTTTAATTTGCAGTAAAGCACGAGATGTCTGACAGGATTATGACCGAGGCTGGAGAAATGCTCTAGTCCCATTGTTCTAGTCCCACTACTCCAAGGTTGCAGCATAAAACAAAAATACTACTTTCAGTCACTGAGATGACTATTTCAATATCCTTTATCTACATCAGGTTTTAAACAAAAAATTTACCAATCAAGTTTCTTAATAAACAGCTATGTGTTTCTTAAGAAAACAAAACTTATTTGCTTAAGATGCAATAATTGGCTAACGTACGCAGTCAGTAATGTAGACGTATCCCAATAAATAGCTCCAAAATACAAATATAAACTTGCTGGAGTTACTTGAGGAGGTAACAGAGGGTTGATGAGGGGATGGCTGATGTTGTGGTGTATTTGTGGACTTCCAAAAAGCATTTGAAACAGTGCCACACAACAAATTTCCTCTCATCCTCTCTAAACCTCCTGCCCATTACCTTAAATCTATGCTGTCCACCGAGGGAAAAAGTCCTTCCTGTCTATATCCCTCATAATGTCATACATCTCAATCATTGTCCCCTTTAGTTGTCTCTACTCCAGGGAAAATAACCCCACTGTATCCAATCTTTCCTCATAACTAAATCTCTCCAGCTCAGGCAAGATTCTGATAAATCCCCTCTGTACCCTTTCCAGTGCAATCACATTGCTCCTATAATGTGGATTCCAGAACTGCACACAGTACTTTAGTTGTGGCCAAACCAACATTCTATACAGTTCCAGCATAACATCCCTGCAGTTAAACTCTCTGCTTCGGCTAATAAAGACAAGTATCCGATATGCTTTCTTAACCACTGTATCTATCTGTTTCACTACCTTAAAGAGCCATCGGATATGCACACCAAGGTCCCACGGATCGTCAGTGCTTCCCAGGGTCCCTGTGTGCTTTACGTAAACCCTTGCCCTGTTTATCTTGCCCATGTGCATCACTTCACATTTTAGCTGGATTGAATTCCATTTGCCACTGATCAGTCCATCTGACCAGTACGTCTATATCCTTCAGTAATCCTAAGGTTAGCATTTGCCACCCCACCAATTTTTGTATCACCCACAAACTTACTGATCAATTCTGCGATGTTCATGTCTAAATTGTTTATATATACCACAATCAGCAAGGACCCCAAAACTGATCCTGCAGGCCCCAACACTGATCACCATGGAACGCCACTAGGTACAGATTTCCAACCACAAAAACATCCCTCAATCATCACCCTGTGCTTTCTGCTGCTTGGCCAATTCTGGATTCAATTAGCCAAATTTTCTTAGATTGCAGGAACTGTACTTCGCTATTGGTCTCACATGCAGGAACTTATCAAAAGCCTTCCTAAATACACGTAGAAATTTACAAATACATTGCCCTAATCTACACACCTGATTACCTCTTCAAAAAATTTCAATCAAGCTGGTCAGACATGATCTTCCCCTTAGTGAAACCATTCTGACTATTCTTGATTTAATTCCTACCTCTCTCCAAGTGCAGATTATTCTGTCCCTCAAAATTGCTTCCAATAGTTTCCCCACCACAGAGGTTATGCTGGCTGGTTCATAGTTTCCTGGCTTATTCCTTGGTTCCTTTTTTTGAATAACAATACCACATTAGCTGTCCCCCAGTCCTCTTGCCTCTCCTGTGGTCAGAGAGGAATTGAAATTATTACCAGTTTGAAGGACAAGGGTAGCAGTTGCATAGGAGCACTTCCATTTGCATGTTTCCTTCCAAGCCCTGAATGTCCTGATTATGTTGCCGTTCCTTTGCTCCTGCTGAGTCAAAAGCCTAGATCATTCTCTTTCTATCAACATTGTGAGTGTGCCTACTCCTTCCAAGGACTGCAGCAGTTCAAGAAGGCAGTTCACCACTACCTTCTCAAGGGCAATTAGGACTGATCAATAAATACTAGCAAATCCAGGAATGCCCAAATCTTGTGAAGAAATAAAAAGCAACATGACCGTACTGGGTTCTGTGAAGACGCATAAAAATGTGCTTGACTATAAGTACTGACTTCACCTCATCTTTACTTGATTTTTTTTTCCCTGCTGTTTGATTTTTAATGTAGGTTATCATACAGTTCACATAACCCTTGGTGCACGATGCCTGCCTTTATACACTCTGCTGCATTATATTGATCTTGGAGTGTTGCATCCAACAGAACGGTTTGTTACCAAGCTGTTTGAAGGTAAAAATACTTAAATTATTTTTTTAAAATACCTGGATACAAAATAAAACTAGGCTGCTTATAAAAAGATTTTAAAATAATGATTACTTATGAAGCCTAAACAGGCTATCTGTTTCTTTTCAAACGCTTCTATTACTTAACTGAAATGTTATTAAAAAAAAAACTTGCCAAGGGTTTACACTAATTTGGCGGGGCAGGGAGGAGGAAGCCAGAAAATAGCAGAAATCCCCAGCAATGACATCAGAGGACAGAGACGTAAACAGCAATAAATTAGGAAAATCCAGAGATGGCGGGAACAAAATTGCGGAAAATAATAGAAGTGACAAAGAATGTACTGAACTACATTCAACAAAGTCCTAAGTGTCAATAGTTATGTTGGTGAGCTGCATACACAGTTGCAAGATGGGATCATGGCTTAATTGCTTTGAGAGGCATGACCGAAACGAGGCCAGGAAAGTATACTTACTATTCTTGCTTATCCTATATTCAGTGTGATACAGAAGACATAACTGTGTTCATTATGGATGAAGTTACTCTTCTAAATATAAAAGATGTATCAAATAGTTCAGGGACTGAACCAATTTGACTTGAGGTGAGGAACCTTCATGATTCCTCACAAAAGCTGCAGTATGGAAAGAGTATGTTTTTCCCAAATGCTTTAAAAATACAGCTGTGCACATCTCAGATTCTGAGTCATATCAATAAGAAATATTTGTGCCCATTCTTGTCCAGATTTTTAAAAAAAGACTTTTACACTGATCTATAAATGCCAAAAAGTGAATTATTTTACTGCCTAACACGATTGTGAAAAATTCAATAGTTGTGGAATGTCCCCATTGAAACACCCTTTGGAAATTTACACTTTTTAAGACTTATCTACAATGTTCCTACATTACAAGTGTATATATAAATGATATAGAAAATATGAGAACTATTGAGGAAAATCTTGTTTTCGGTTTGGCAAGATGCAGGAGCTTCTAACTTATAGCTGCCCCTTGTTACAGAAGTAACAGCAGAAACTTCTTTTGAAAGAATTACAAGTTCATCAAGTAATATCTATATTGCCCCTATATACCGAAAGCCAAATTTAATTTAAGAACAACATTTGACCCATAGAACTGTTCTCTGAAATACTTGTTAATGGGTACAATTTAGTATTAAACTACTTATTTGGGGAGATTCATCTTTTAATCAAAATACAAACTTCATTTAAGTCCTATGTCTTTTTCACACTGTTCCATCCTTTTATTGTTGTGCTTCAGAAAAACTGACTCACAGCATGTGTTTTGTGCAAAAGGAAATGGGTGTTTTGAATTTAACTCTGCATTCAGAAAAATCAGACCAAAATTGATTTTGTTTGTTGAATAACACACAAACTCACATTCTTCTATCTCCATATGTTTGTGTGCAGAGATGAAAAGATCTGTTTTTAATTTGAATCCACGACAAAACTCTTTGGCTCCCAAGATCAGGTGTTCTAGTAGCTTACCTCCTGACTCCACAAAGCCCCTCCAGCAACTATTAGGCATAATTTTGGCAAATCATGGGATGCTGTCAACTTGACAAACTCCACACCGTTCAGGGCCAGCAATGCCCATATCTCATTCATGAATAAAAATAGAATAAACAACCACTTTTTCTACCACAATTGTATGCTGCAGCTCACATCTATCTATAGCTGCACCACCTAAGCCTGCAAGCAACTGCTGTACCTAGCAAGGAGCACAGTAGGTGTATGGAAGCACCATCAGCTCCAGTACTCCTTTCAATTCACAAGCCATCCTGGTAAAAATGGAAGGGCTCTGTAGCTAACAATATTGTAGGAGTACCATCAGCATAGTGTAATGATCAAATCGCCCCATCACGTAGCACTAGGGTTATAGAGTCATACAGCACAGAAACAGACCCTTCAGTTTGGTTCATCCATGCCAACCAAGCATCCTGAACTGAACTAATCCCATTTGCCTGCGTTTGGCCCATAATCCCTCTGACCCTTTTATCATAATCTAATTCTCAACTATATTTTTCTGGAGGCTCTGTGTAGATTACGAACTTCAGGGGCATGAGACTCAAGTTTTTGAGTATCGGGATGCTACAGGCTCCAACATTCAGATGCAGGGTCAGATCCTGCACCCTCAAAAGAGTGCCTGAATTTTGAGGATCATTTGTTCATCATAGCTACACATCAAACAACAAAATCCTTGAAAAGAAAAAAACAAATAAGTTTTAGAATAACTAACAAATATGAAATAACCATCTACTTCCTGATGTTTTATTAATTTAATAAATTGTCTGTCACACTCTACTTTTCACAGTAGATTTTTCTCGAGGAGTTAATTAATTCAGGGTCAAACGTATTCAAGGAATATCCTGTTTAAAGGTGGATAAACATTTTATACTTGTGTTTTGTTGTGCTTCCTTTTGAATGAGTTCAAGTTGTACAAATTCCTTCATTAAAAGACCATTTGGCAAAAAGGCATAACTCTAGTTTTAAAGAGTAGACCACATTCATAAAGAGAAATTTGATGACTGAAGGACAATTAGTTGATTAAGACGATGTAAACTCACTTTGACAGGATCGTGAATTTACCCACCAGTCTTGAAAGCAGTCCAGATTTGAATTGTCTATCTGTGAGTGACAGCATATGAACCAAAAAGAGATACATATATATCCCTGCTGGCAGCATAGCCTCAGTTACAAATTTCTGGGGCAACAATGATGGCCACAGTCATCTGACCCTAAACAAAATGTGCAGCTATTAGTGATTCTATATTAGAAAAGAACGATTAGAAGGAAAAAATGTTTACATCAAGTAATGAGTACATCTAGGCGCTGAGTGGGCATTGTGGATGTACAGCTCAGTGTATAATGGGGCATGCAGACTCAGTCCAGCAATACAGCCTCCAGCAGATTATTTGGTTTGTTGATATCCCACTTCATGACACTTGTAGCAGTATTGTGGGCAATGACCTGTTGTCCCCCTTCAGGATTATAGTATTTGTGTTCCCATCACTGCTGCCCAACCAGTGACCTTGGTGTTGCCTGCCAGTCCAGACTGCTGTCCCTATGGTGAGATTTTGAGTCCCTCAGAGCAACAGCAGTTCACCAGCCATTCTACAGTTGATGGGGTAGCACTGTGTGCACACTGGACCAGGCAATGAAGCAGGTAAGGCAGACACAACAAACAATGTCTAACTGTGATTAGTGTTTTTTAGACATTATGATGGATAATGCTGTTGATTGAAGGTATTTGATTTTTTAGTATTGAATGATATTCAGCCAAGGAGACTTTGTGATGGGGATTCTGATGGGTGAATAGTTGGTGACTGATTTGGGAAATTGACTCAATTGAAATGAAGTATCACAATGTGGTTCCTCTCGTTCTGTCCAACTGGATTTGAAATATGTGGGCTTCTCCCAGTGGCCACCTCTTCCTCTTCTTCTCTTATTTCCCCTATCACCTGGTATGGCCTGGGGATTTGAAAAGGATGGGCTTGCTGAATTGGTTTGGGATGGGCACAGCACACCACCACAAAAGTGGACATCCTCCCTGGCTCCTTACTGGAGAGATTGCCCTGAGACAGCAAATCTGTTGCTTGAGGAAGTTGATTGCTTGCATCATGTGTTGCTCCATGTTGTTACTGAAGTTCTCTAACCCTCATAGTGCAACAGTGGAAGGAGTAAACAAAAGGGTGTCATGGTTATTTGTGGAGGGGGCTGAGCAACTATCCTCAGGAGGTCTAAAGACAGTAGATATGGCAGACTGGCATAAGTGCATTTTGGGCGTTGCTCATGGGGAGTCATTAGGAGGAACTTCAGTGTTAAATGGATCCAAGACAAATGGTGAAGTATGAAACTAGATGAGGATCTTTGTTTTAATTGCAGATTTACTCTTCTGAATGCAGTGTTATATATTTCTGTCTCCTACTCATCAACACTTCAGGGTCATAGCAGTCATTTTTTATATGTGCTCAAGAGATTTAATTAATTGGTACCCTACAACCTGACATTAATAGTAATCCTGTGGTTCTTGTATCTCCTTGCTGTTTGGAAACATTCAAGGCAACCTGAATGATTCAACAACTCACCACCCGTCCTTGCTCCTTACCTTGCTTACCTCTTTTACATTCCTTCAAACTCACCTCTTGACTAAGCTTTCTATTTCTCACCTAATATCTCTTTTGTTGGTTTGATGTCATTTTTAGTCTTGCAATGCTCTTGTGCAGAACATTGGGTCTTCCTACTGTGTTAAAGGCAGTATAGAAGTTGTTATTACTCTGCACATAACTTCCTGAGTCGTCATTGCCAAATCATAAATGTTATTAATGCCCACTTCTCCCACTTGAAAGGATACATTGTCATGGAATGTTATGGTCTTGCTGCCCTTCACAGTAACTATCTAGGCTATCTGTACCCTGCTTTGAAGCACCAAGTTGATGTGAAGGAGGTGGTACATCTCCTTGACAGCTTCGTTTGTGAGTTGCTGACTTCTCAGGACCCTGCTCAAGAATTGTTACTAAGTAGGAATTGTGCTCTCAGAACACTTGTGGCTCTTGGGAAAATGTACATTTCCACCTCCCCACCACACCCCCCCCCCCACCCCTCCCAGACATTTCTAGCAATTGATCTATGCAAACGTTTGGTGGCAACCTTATGACCGCCCCCTCCCCATCAACAAACTGATGTTTCCTCCCTTCCAGTGTGCAGCAAAATCTTCCAAACCTTTGAAACTTCATGACAGTGGTTCCACAAACTTCTTTGTTTTAATCATAGGTGAATTAAGTCAAAAGCATTTGTGATCCTTTACACAGTGTCAACAAAGAGCCCACCTTGCTTTATAACAATGGTTGCTTGACTATGTATACATTGATTAAAATCTAGTATCCTGGCATTACATCAGTAAGTTCTGCCTGATGACATGACAGTGTTTATTAAAGATTCTTTGGATGCATGCAGGGGCTGCACTTGTGTACATTTTCAGTACACCTGCTTCATTAGT